CCATCTACCTGCTGCCTCCGTGGCCCAGAGGATCCTGCCACAGCAAGATACAGAGCTCCAGTCCAGAGGCCTCCAGAGCCCAGCGAGCCTCCCCTCTGTTCTTTCTGGCTGGAGGCACCTCTTTGCTGCCGTCTTTTAGAGTGAATAGTGCAGCTCTGCAATGGAGAGCTTGCCAAGCATGCACGGGGGAATATTTTTTTTTTTCTAAAGTGACTTGCTTTACTCCTGGTGACTGGTACTTCTATGCTGGACTAACTTTTGTAGGCAATGAGGAAAGACAGCTCTGGTCACCACATCTTAATAGCCTTAGCTAGAACAATCAATCTTTAAATACTGCTCTTAGGAGTATAAAAGCTTAGTGGTAGAGTACTTGCCTAGCATGTGCAAGGCCCCAGGTTGGATCCCTAGTATAGCAGGGAAAAAACCTGCTCTTAATATTACAACATGGCAGAAGGAGAAATTCAACACTCTGTGGAGGCAGTGGTAAATTTACTATTTGTAACAGGAGAACAAGAGCAAGAGCTTCTGATCCAATGTATTAATAACTCACATATGAAAGATCATCTTTATTGAATAGGGTCATGGTGTTTGGGCCTCCCACAGCTTAATACTATCCAAATGTTCTTCTATGATTTTGCTTAACTAGAGAATAGTAAGTCTTGGACCAAACTCTCCTTCAAATACCGAATCATCAGCAAATACCCACAAGCATGTCTTGTGGCTGGAGGATCCACCTAATGTGCTTGAGATGAGCTGAGGAATGCTACTCACAGTTTATGTAGGGCTAAGGAGATTATAAGGCAAATAATGATTACCAATACTCATTGTCTCAAACATTTTTCCTCTTATAAGTGCTCAATCACGGCAAGAAAAGAGGCTGCCTGGGAGCATAGCAAACACAGCCGCCGTGCTTGAGCCTCCCTCTGAGATTGATTATACAAGGTCCCCTTGGCCCTGGCACAGTCATCTGCCCCTTTCCAACCCCCTTCTCTTCCAGTGGGCAAGAAGTAAGGGATTAAAACTACCTGTATCAGAACCTGTCCAATCTGAAACTGGTGGACTGGTTTCAGTGCATGAGGCTCAGCGCTTGCCGTCCACGGCTGTCCCAAGACTCCATGAGGGACTCTGTCTTGACTGCTAAATCTACTCCGCCGCAATTCTCTAGGCAGCCAATAGCCAGAGGTGACACTTGGCACTTGAGATGGAACTGATTTGCCACGTCTGGCAACCTACTCACTTGACGGAGGCAGCCACTGCAGCCCAGAGAGGAGAGAGGTTGTGTGAGGTGTATTTCTCCTGAGGGCAGGATGGTGCCAAAGCGGCTTGGGTCCCTCACCCTAGTCCCAGAGAACTAGCCACTCAGCATCAGGACATACTGGGGATCTCTTACTGTGGTTATTAAGGTCAGGAAGTAGAGAATAGGGATGTTTGCTCCTTTAAAAAAAAAAAACACAAAAAAATAAAAAAAGTCTTGCAGATTCCTGACTCTCAGAAATCTGCAGGCTGCTCAGGTTACCCACCTCTGACTAAGCCTTATGGAGCAGAGTGGCTAGAACAGCATCCCTGACAGCTCACCCCAACTACTCTGCACCACAACGCGCCTGCAGAGCCCGTGATAGCCAGCTCCTGGGCTGTCACACATATCTGTGATCATGAGGCCCGCTTAGAAAAAAGAAGCTGGCCCACAGTGACAAAACTGAAAATAAATGTCCACTTGATTCCATAAAGGTGCTAGAATCTAGAATGTTTATAGTACTTAGCCCTTTGCTTTAGTTGTAACATAACCCGAGGTCTTTCCAAGGGCGTGCTTTTCGCATTTAACCACCGCCTCTACCTGGCCAGCCCATCATTTGTTTGCTTCTTGCTCTGCTCATGAAGCGCTCTTTGCAGCTTCTCTGAACAGCTGGGGCAATGCTAGGTTTTGGCATTGCAGCACTCTCTGCAAGCCACATGCACACCCACTACTCTTCGTCTAGCCTGAGTGTAAGTGGGAGGGCAGAGGCATCCTTTTTGGAGGCTGAGTTGGCACTGCACAGAGCATGGTGCCTAATCCAGCCAGAGCTCACTTTTAGGTCACAAGGTTACAACTCAGCCTTAAGACTGTCCCCTTTGATTTTCTCCTTTTAGTTCCTCCTCATTCACTATTTTGACCACACAAGTAGAGGGAAGAAGAAAAGGAAACCACCTGAAACCTCCACCAGGTATCAAAAGGCCTCAGAGTGGTTAGAGCAGTGGAAGGCAGTGCCGAGCACAAGGAGGGCGAGGGTCAGCTATAGCTCCATGGCTGCACCAGGAGAATCCCAGAACTCCAGACTTCTAGGGAGCAGCCCTAGAAGCAGGGACTCACCCCTACAGCAGTAAGAACCCAGGCCAGGCTCCAAGGTCCACTCTGAATCTTGGTCAGGTTGCTTTGACAACAATGTGGGCTTTGTTAGCCCCTCCACTTCTCCAGTCAGTTCCTTTCCAGTAAAATGACTGGGATCACTCTGAGCTCTCACATCATAGGAGCTCTTGCAACCCTATGTTGAGAGCTCCAAGCCAGTCTGGCAGTGTCTGAGCATCCTGATCTACAGAAAACAGCCTCTCGACAGACACAAGAGCCACAAGCAAATCAAATCACCATAAGGAGGAATGACTCACGATAAACACACTTTAACCCAAAATAGGGCACAAACTTAGTTTAAGAAAAAGCCAAAATAGCCAAACAATTTTTAATTTCAATAGTAGCCTCTAACACTGAGTGAATGTAACTGAAAAGGAATTTAACCTCATTTAAGAAGACACTTCCTATCCTAATTCCAAGAGCATCGCTTACTCCCCAAAGAGCCCGAATTTCTGGGCTTGGAGATCATCTAGGGCAACTCGTTCCTTTGACTGACGGAAAAATCAAACTCCAGAGCGGGCAGGTGCGGCAGCCAAGGTCACAGGCGAGCAGACAGGGAGCCCACGTCCCCGAACTCTGCAAAGGCCAGGCTCTGGGTCCGAGCATGACCGGGAGGAATGCAATGTGCGCTGCCCTGCAGCCAGGGACCCCCTGACCCGCTCGCCGCGGAGCGGCCTGCAGTGCCGGGCCGCCCCAGCCCACCACCGCGCGCTCCCCACGCGAACGCCCCGCTCCACGGCCCGGGAGTCCGGGGCCCACGCACCTCCTCGGCCTGCTTGCGCAGCGCCTTCTCGCGCTCGTACTGCGTGAGCAGCTGCTCGTTGTCCTCGCGCAGCAGCTCCAGCTCCACCTCGTGCTCCTGGTTCTCGCTCAGCACCGAGTCCAGGTTCTCCAGCACGTTCACCACCAGCGGCATGAGCTCCTTCACCACCTCCTCGTCATAGCAGTGGATGAGGCGCTCGAACTCGCGGTAGATGGAGCCCGCCAGGCCTGATACCCGCTCCGACATTACCGAACCGGAGCAGTAGTCGTCCTGGTACACCACCACGCCGCCGCCCTCGTCCATCTGGATTTCCATCATTGTGGCCGCCAGCGCGGCCAGCTCCGGCTGCCCGGGTCCGCAGGCCGCTGTGGTCTCAGGCTGCGCCGCCGCCGCCGCCTCTGCTGCTCAGGCCGCACCCGTCACTCGCCCGCCGGAAGTCCCGCGGGCCGGAAGGGGTGGAGCCGTAACAACCCCGCCCCGGGTCGCGCGCCATGACGTCAGAGCAAGTACTTCCGGCATCGTCGCTCCCGGTCTTGACACTGCACTCCCGAGTCTCTGGGTGGTGGGCGGTCCGCCTCTCTTCCTTGCTTTGTTGCCTTTGGTGTCCAGTTTCAGTCCAGACCTGTGAAATCTACTCTGGTCGTCCGTGGGGCTAACTCGGTGTTCCGTTGCGTGTCCTCGGTGACTCGCCATCTCCGGCGTGCGGTGCTCAGCTGTTTCCCATGCTGCCGCCCGCTCGCGTATTATCTCCGAACTGCTTTTTACCGCAGCCCCACGGCTTGCACAGCCCTCCCCGACTAAGCTAGGGCTCCTGTGTTCCCTGGGACTGACCTATGGTAGTGCCTTGAGACCGAATGTATTAGTGGGTTTCGCCCCAGGACACTGTTTTCTTTTCCTGGGAACATGAACCCAAGATAGTGAACTTTGGACGTAGGCACCTCACAGCTGTTGTGAATTCCCATCAAACCCTGACTGCTTGATGACAACCAACAAATGGTTTCTTACTCCTGCCCTTCTCTACCTGAAAGGCTTCAGCTCAGATCCTCAATTTTTAACTGCACCGAACCGAGGAACCGTCCTGTAGCTAACACCCTGGATGCTACGGCATTGTTCACATTTCCCCTGTGACATTTGCTGAATAGACAGATCTTCACTCACTTCACTAAGAGATCATTGATCCTAAGTGTCAGTTTTGAGTTTTGATCTTAAGTGACTTACTTTTCCAAGCTTGCAAAACAAGAGCCTACATATTACGAACCTATTAGAAGTTAGCTAAGGAGTGAAAGTGACATGGACCATTTCTATAAAACAGTCCTTGCAGTGACTATTACACAATTATATTGCCAAATTAGGAGGCAAGTCAAATGGCTGAAATGTGTAATTCCTCCTGGTGAACAAGAGCAAGCTTGTCTTGGGGGAATGTCTTAGGCTTCCTCTTTAGGCATCTCAAATTTGAAACTGAATTCCTGAAGTAGCACACTACAGTAGGAAAGTTCCAACTACCATAGGACAGGCCAACTTACTTAGACATCAACCTTACCAATTTTTGTTGTGAACACAACTGTTTCAAAGCCAAGTCAGAGGCAGATTAAAGGCAAAGTTTTTCAGGACAAGTAGTGGTAAAGAAAATACACTTAACACAGACATTGTTATCAGTGACTTATGGCGTATTCCCCACTCATTCCACTCACAGGTTTGAGATGTGGGCATCCTCTAGATAAAGAGGGAAGGGGGAAGGAGGACACTCCTCTACCAATGAAAAGCTGTAAGGGAAGGAGTTCAGGCATTTCTTAAATGGACTGCTAGAGAGAGCACACATACACACAAATCAGGCAAAGACATTTGAGTATATGCTTACTAAGTTTAATTCAATTGTTATACCCAATTCTGCCTCATAAAAATAACAAAATGTTCCTATCAAAATTACATTGTGATGTAAGGACAGGTTTCTTGCTGATAACAGTTCTAGAAAAATGTTGGCACCAAATGCACTTAAAAAAAGTTTTAAGGCTTAATGAAAATATAGACTAGTAATTTCTCAATGCAGCTTGGAGGGTGAGAACAGGATGCGTCACATACGGCAAGTCCCTGATACAGACAGCATCTTCCTAATGCAAGTGATGGTCACACAGTGGAAAGTGTCTCCTTTGCTCCTTGTAGGGCACACACTGCCCAGGCCTAAGCTCAGCTCACAGCCTCAGGAAGAGAAGGGGGAGATGGGGTGAGTAAGGCAGTGCACTCTGCTGCTCCGGGGCCACTGCTGTAGGTTCTCCAGTAGAAATCCCTGACAGTGGGTAGAACTGGGAGCTTTCCTTTCACTGGACTAACAGTAATGTCAGATTTCATATTGGCAATCCAATTTGGAATTCACAAATCATTTTCTCATTAAGAAACGGAAAAGGTGGTTCCTTTCTATCATTAAACTATTTTCTTATAAGTTAAACAAGTTAGTATATTTGGAATTAATTAAGTACAAAACCTTACATAAAGCATAAGCATCATTTATGACATTTTTCTTAAACAGGAAATAAAATGTCCCCAACTCCAAATGACATTTCCATAAATGCTTTGAACTACAACCCATTTGCAGTCTTAGTCACATGGAATATGTTTCCTGGCTCCAGAGACTGCAGAGCAACTGAACGAGGAAAAACTCTTTGGTTGGAAAACCCATGTGCAGACCCCTCAATGGGCCAGGTGCAGGAAGTGGAGCTTGGCAGATGGCTCCTGCAGGCACTTGAGCAGCTAGGCCAAGGTGAGCGTGACTGCACACACTGTTGCTTTTCCAAAGTTTAACAATGTTGAAGACATTTAGCACCTGAGCTTTGTAGGCACCCAAGGCAATAGCAGCACTACCCAGACCCTTTCCTGTTAACAGATGCCCACTAGGAGAGAAGCAGGGCTGACCAGAGGGACCTCTGCCCAACAGATGATGCAATACAACTTATGCCAGCCCAGTACCTCTGCTAGCAAATGACAGGTGTGACTCTGCTGCCAAACTACTTAACATCCTGGCCTAAGGTACACTGCTTGTGAATGTGGTCCAGAGGAGTTTTTAAAGGTGGTCTAATCAGTTCTTCCTCTTTGGTGCGCCTGAGAAAAGGACTTTTTTTTTTTCCTGGAAGGTATCAGAAATGGAGTCCATAGGCATTTGAGAAGCTGGTATTAAAAACAGCTTTTTAGATATTATTAAAGAAGCGAACCTAAGAATCCAAGGTTCTCAAGCATGTCTTTTTCCCCACCAACCAACTACAGGAACAGGAAGACTCTAAATAAGCCCAGTACTCAGATACACCTGAATAAATTTAAGTACTGCAGAGACCAGAGGGCCTCATGTATAGGGAGAACTATAGATCAGGAGAGGAACTCCACATCGTCAGTGAAGAACAAAGGCCTAGACTTACGGCTGATGAGATAAACAAAAGGAACAATCCATAAGAAAAACTGGCATGTCAAGAACCAAAGCCAGCCCCTGTAGAAAAAAAAAAAAACAAGATTCCTACATGAGACCTGACTATGGTTTCAGATGCAGGAACTGGGCAATCAGAGGATTAGGCACGAAGCCTTTCATAAAGCACAAGACTGAGGACAGCTGTTTGGTTTTTGTTCACTGCTGCTGAGAAAAAGGAAGATGTTTCAAGAAAACTATTGGACAGCACACTAGGGATAAAATGGGAAGGAGGTGTGGGGTTCAGAGGTAATTTCAGTAGTGGAGGCCATATTGTAGACTCTACTCCCTTTTTAGTGTGTCTGTTTATGCCATGCTCCTCCATTCCTCAGAGATGGATGGGCTGTTTGGGCTCTTTCATTCATTCCTGTATGCTCAGTCAGCTGGCAGACTGCTGATCCCAGGATGGGGAAGATCCCATCAAGCCTCCTGCTCCTACCCTACACTTTTCTCCCATCCTCTCCCACTTCAGAGTTTTGTTCCACTTGGACAACTGATGCATGAACACCAGGGCAGTCCCATTTTATCCCCAAATGTTGTTTTCAGCATTCTGGAAGGCATAGTCCTCTGTGCAGCTCTCCTGATGGCAACAGAGCCTCTGAGCAGCCAGCCTCACATGCAATAAACCCTCTCCCACCCCCGCTCCATTGGGTTAAAGGAAACGCTAACATTCAATACCCTATCTCTTGAGTGTCTGGTCTGGCTATAGGCAAAGCAGGAGCCTCTCAGTAAAAGGAGATGCTGGATTTGCCTCCTGGTGGATTCAGGACCTTATTGTGGGAGCGAGGCCGCGGGCCCAGCCTGGGCTCATGGCTATCGACTGTGGGTGTAGGCTCAGGTGCCTTGGCATGGTCTTTTTCTCTGGAGCTGCCCTTCTCACTGGGTTCTTCCTGGGGTGAGGCACTTGTTGCAGCTGTAGGACAAAGTCAGCACAATGTCTATTAGTGGTAGCTACTACCCTGTTAGGCAAGCTGTACCAACGGAAAGTCAGTGTCACAGAAGCTTGTTAGAACTTCACATGGTGACAGGAGAGAAAATAAAGCTAGGTTTGCTTTCTTGCACAAAGACAACTCATGCTGCTCTAGACCAGAAAACAAAGTTGGACTACTACTACATTCCTTGATGTCTTCCTAAATAATTTTTATTTTTTTTGGGTGGCATTAGGGTTTGAACTCATGGCCTCTCACTTGCTAGGCAGGCACCCTTACCACTTTAGCCACTCCACCAGGCCAAAATTATTTCCTTATATTGCTTGTTACACTCCATAACACACCTTAGTTGGGGTCTAACAAGGCCAAGGCTAGGGTTTCCTGTCACTATTGCTCTGGATGTTTTAAAGGAAGAATGAATGAACTCCTAGGTATCTCAGTCACCAGTTGAGGGAAATGACTGGAAGGCAGAAATCAATGACCATTCTCCTTAGAGAACAATGGTGTGACTCAGAAGCCTTGGCTGTAGCCTGATGCTACAGCAGCCAGCTCTTGCCTGGGTGACTGAGTTAGGCGGCTGTAGCTCTCTTCAACAGAGACTTGAGCCCCTTGTCCTCTACATATGCAGTTCTTAATTCTGCCAGCTCGATCCTTGGTTGCAAGTTCATGAGGGTTTCGGACCCCTTCCCTTCACACTAACACAGATGAGCCTCTATGAGAGCACATAACATCTGATCTGTTGTCTCAGATTCAGGCTGGGAAAAAAAAAATCTAAAGGTCTGACTACACTCATGTCCCCAGTCTTCCTCAAACAATACACACACTGTGTTTGTTTTGCTCAGTTGGCTTGGAAGCCTTCTGTTCTGCTGGGTATACTACCAATTTTTCCAAGGTCATGCAGAAGGGCAGGAAGCAAGCTCACCTTTAACGTTAGATTTCGGTGATTCTCCTTCACACAGCAAAATGTGATCCTGCAACAAGACAGACAACATGTCAGTGCTCATTCAAGTGAACAATGAAAACCAGGGCTTGAATGATTTCAGTTTATTTTTAACTTTTAAAACATGTTTTTATCATGGACAATTTTACCATAAACAAAGTTGAAGGCTAGGGTGCAATTCAGCGGTACAATGCTTGCATTGTGTGCACAAGATTCTGGGTTCTATCCCCCAGCACCACCAAACAGAGAGATCTGTATGGTGAGCCCCATGTAACCTGCAGTACTGCTCCAGTATCAGCTCACTGTCATCCTTGTCTCAACTACACTACTTCCCAAGCAAATCCCAGACAGTTCATTTATCCATACATATTTTAAAGCATGGTTCTTAAAATGTCCTTAATAGGGCTGGGGGTGAGGTTCAAGCAGTACAGCACTTACCTAGTGTGCACAAGGCACTGGGTTCAATCCCTGGTACCTCAATGAGTAAGTAAATAAATATCTGGCTGCAGTGGCTCATGCCTGTAATTCCAGGCATGGAATTACAAGGAGGTAGAGATCAGGTGAATAGCAGTTTGAGGCCAGCCTGGGCAAAATGTTAGTAAGATTCCATCTCAGTAAAGAGCTCGGCATGGTGGTGTGCACCTGACGTGAACAGGAGGATTGTACTCACAGGTCCAGGCCAGCCAAGACAAAAAAACATGGGACCCTAATTGAAAAATAACTTAAGCTAAAAAGGGCTGGAGGTGCAGCTCAAGTGCCTAGTACGTGCAGGCCCTAAGTTCAAACCCCAGTTCTACCCTCAAAAAAAGGTCCTTCAAAAATTAACCATAACAGGCACAAAACTGAAAAATTATGATTTCTTAAATATCAAAATTTAAAACCCTAGCATATTCTCAAGGTTCATTCACATTTTACCATGTCAGAATTTCATTCCTTCTGTTGGCCATTCATTTTCTTATTCATTCATCTACTCATGGATATGTGGGTTGTTTCCACTTTTGGCGAGCAATTGTGAATAATGTTGCTATGAAAATAGCTGTGCAAGTATCTGTTTGAATCTGTTTTCAAATCTTTTGGGTCATATGGCAGTTCTTTTTTTTTCCAGTGTTGGGGACTGAACCCAGGGCTTTATGCATGCTAGGCCACTGCTCTGTCACCAAGCTACATCCTCTCCTTATTTTGTTTTCTGGTACTAAAGACTGAACTTAGGTCTTCATCCTTGCTGGACAAATGCTCTACCACTTGAGCCATGCCCCTAGTCTCTTTGCTTTTAGTTCAGACAAGATTTCATAACAATTTTGTCCAGGATGGCTTCAAACTGCAACCCTCTTACCTCAGGCACCCACATGCAAGCCTGTACCACCATGTCCAGCCTGGACCTTGTTTTTTTTTTTTTTATGGTTTGAATTCAGGGCTTTACAACTGTTAGGTAGGCACTCTTACCATGTGAGCCATGCCTTTAGAACCCCCCACCCCACCCTGCTTTTTTTAACTCTTTCTTGTGGTACTAGAGTTTGAACTCAGGGCCTCACACTTGCCAGGCAGGTGCTCTACCACCTGAGCCACTCCACCAGCCCAACCCCCTTGGGTTTTTTTGAGACAAAAGTTTCACTATGTAGCTCATGCTGGCCTCAAACTTGTGATCCTCCTGCTTCTGCCTCCCGAGTGAGCACTGGGATTACAAATGTGCACTACCACTCCTGGCTATGTTTAACTACTTGAGGAAATGCCAAGCTGTTTTCCACAGCTGGTACGCCTTCTTACATTCCCACCGACAATGTAGGGGATCCTCATTTTTCCACATCCTTGCCAACAGTTAATATTTACACAGATGGCACAGGTGTGAAGTGGTATCTCGGTGCTTTCTGACTTGTATCTGTGTAGCGACTAATAACCTTTCCATGGGCTTTTGTCATTTCTGTATCTTCTTTGGAGAAACAACTATTCAAGTTCTTTGCCCAGTTTGAATTATATTGTTTATCTTTTTTGTGGTTGAGTTGTAAGAATTCTTTATCTATTCAAGAGGGCAAACCCTTATCTGGCACATGATTTGCAAATATTTTCTCCTATTCCATGGGTTGTCTTTTCACTCCCTTAATACACATGTGTACATGTGACACACAGATTTTTTTTTTTTTTTTTTGAGGTAGCCCAGGCTGGCCTCGAATTTATGGTCCTCCTGTCTCAGTCCCCCAAGAGCTGGGATGACAGGTGTATATGACCATACCTGGCTAGACCCTGCTATCTTTTGAGCACAAAAATGGTAGAAAAGCAAACAGTTTAAAAATACTACTAATAACTACAGTAATAATAAAGCTCTAACCTTTATTACTGATAAGCTTTTGCCGAAGTAAACTCCAGAAAAATCCCACTACCACTCAATTCAACAAACATTCCAGCGAGGCTGTGTAGGTTCAGGGATACAGGGAAGTTTTGGCCTAGTCTTGGCCAAGCCTATACCTCAACCCTATAATCATTTCTAAAGTTGCTTGGTCATTCTACTTTCCAGCAGCTTCTGAGTCAGCACTCCTGGCAAGGAGAACATGTTTATCTAACCTGAGAGTGTCTTTAGTGGATCAGAAGCTCAGCTACACCATAGCCATGCACACAAATCCACACAGATAGTAAGAGGACCCTGACCTTCTGTGTCTCACCAGGAAACATCATCTTTCCAGAATGAATAGTGAAGAGGTAGGAAGGTCAAACTTCCATGCTGTGCACCATCACCATCCTTCAGATGCACAGGGAAGACAGCATGGCTGTCTACAGTGGTGCCACTGCTGCCAACACACCAACAGAACCACTTCCCCCAGGGCTTCAGTCATCACAAGGTTGGAACATGTTTCCTGGCTGACTCAGAGGAGCTCCCAAACCCTATGACGAATAACTGCTCCCAGAAAAATCAACATCACCCACCTTGTCTCTTCCTAATGACATGACACATCAGCCTTGGAGCCTTTTTAAAGTAGGACTTGGCTTGACCTTTGGTTTTTTGTTTGTTTGTTGTGTTTTTTTTCTCATGTCTGCTATATGAATGTAGTCCATACCTTGGGTTTGTTTGGGTGTGCCAAGGGTGAAGTGGCAGTGACCGGGGACCCAAAAATATCACTGGTCTTCCCACCAGGTGGGTTCATACGTTGTCGGGTTTGCACAGGAGTTGATTCGTCAAAGATACCACTTCCTTTCCCCCCTGCAGAGACAACCACAGAACATTGAGCACCACAACACCCATCTGATCCTACCTCACATTCATAACGGGACACCCTCTCACCAAACAGCTTAGTGATAGTACTGGGTTTGAGGCCAATTGGATGCAATGGTCAGACTAAATCCCCTGCATCCCAGCCAACCCCTTATGTGAAGCAGCAGCCTTCATGCCTAAACCCAAGCTGACCTGGGCCTTCTTCTAGGAGGAAGAGGAAACAACACACCATGTTTTCCTTCTAGTTTCCTTAATACTTAACAGTTCATGCTTTCCCACTGAAGAGTCTCCTTCACTAAATTCAGGAAGACATTAAAAGCAACTAAATGTTTAGTTCACAGGGAGTACCGAAGTTAATTACATGACCTGTTCAACTCAAATTTGTAATCTGGAAAATAATATTCACTAGTCATTCTGACCTCATTCTGGCCAGAACTTTTAGTGATGACTATGTATGTCAGAAATTAAGAGAAATGTTACATCCTAGCTGCCAACTGTGAGTTGATAAGCAGTCATAAAAACGTGCATCTCAGATGGAATGTCTTATGAGCAGATGGCTGCAGCCTGGGCCTGATACAAGAATGCCTAGATGTGTATGTTAGAAAGACAACTACTGCACAATACTAATTGATCATGTCTTCACTCAGGAGAAATCAAGCACCTATCTTTCCCAAAGCACTATGCTAAACAGAGACAGGCATCAAAGTCACAGCCCTGGTACACCAAGAAGTCATAATCTACAAAATGAAAGAAGATGTGCGCCACTAACTAACTATGTGGCCATGTGAAAGTTACTTGGCCTCTCTGTGCCCCCAATTCCTCATCTGTGGAATTAGGAAAATAAAAAGACTTCCCTCTGAGGGCTGTATGAGGATTCGGTGAGTTTCTATAGCTCTTAGGTCAGATGCCTGGAATAATGCCTAGGATGCAAACACTCAATAAACATCAGTTATGTTTGCTATGTAACTACCACAAAAAATTTTTTTGTATATATTGTTTGGTGAACAAAAAAGGTGCAAAAGAATCCATATAGCAATGCATTTTCTTAATGTGAAAAGGAGGTATTCTCATTTGCTTCTACTTGAATAAAAAGTGACTACTCAGGTAGGACATAGTGACTAGTTGGGAGGCAGAGATCAGGAGGATCACAATTTGAGGCAAGACTGGGCAGAAGCTGGTGAGACCCCCACCTCAACAAATAAGCCAGGTGCTGTGCCACACCTGTGATCCCAGCTAGGCAAGAGGCATAGGTAAGAGGACTGCAGTCTGAGGTTGGCCCCAGGCAAAAGCACGACCCTACCTGAATAATAAGTAAGGCAAGAGGGCTTGGCAGTGGGGCTCTAGTGGTAGAGCAGCTACCTAGCAAGCCAAGGTCCTGAGTTCAAACTTTTTTGAAAACAAAAAAATCCAAAAAATGGTTATCTATGATGGCTAGATAAGAAATAGGATAGGGTGTATAAGGAAAGCATAAGAAAGGTAAGTTCTTTTTACAGAGTTTTGCCCTTTTGCATTTTGTGCTTTCAAATAATTACATTTTAAACAGTGATTTCTTAGCTGTGATAACCATGCTGCCACAGGACTCATGAGTACCACATGACCAGCCAGAAGGACTGAGCTGCTGCAGCTCTCTAGAGCGCTCTCAGCTGTGGCCAGCTCTCAGAGAGCCTCACTCATCTTAAGAGTCCCACTGCTGGTGTGGAGCCTAAAACAGAGTGGCTTTCTGGGAGGTGTCAGCTTCTAGAGGCCTGGAGGTCTGGAACTGTGCATAGCAAACAGGAGCTTGGGCGAGGGTCTCTGCAGTTGGGAGGTAGAGGGAAGAGACATGTGGGACTCCCTCTGCAGGAAAATATGTGCCTAAACCTTTGAGCAACTTCAGGATGATTACAAACCTTTCTGGATCTCAGATGCTGACCTCCTAGGGATCCAGTCCCTAAACTTGTATGCCCTTGACAGGAGAAGCCAGCTCAAGGACAATGGGACTAAGGACATGTGCTCTGTGGCCAGGATGCTGGGAGCAGAGTCCCTGCTTAGTCACTCATTAACTGTGTGACCTCAGGCAAGTTACTTCACCTTAATACTTTCCCGTGTTGCTAGTGAGGCTAAACCAGTTATACAGGTGAAGTGCAGTGATGCTTCTGGACATGCTAGCAATCACGTCTGGACCTCAAGGGAGAGAGGGACCACCCTCATTGTGTCATTCCTGGTTGTCCACAAAAGCTTATCTAATTTTTTAAAGTGTGCATTCAGCTTTAAAATGGAAGAGCACAGTCAGGCATTGGTGGCTCACACCTGTAATCCTAGCTACTCAGGAGGCAGAGATCAGGAGGACTGTGGTTTGAAGTCAGCTCAGGCAAATGGTTCATGAGACCCTATTTTGAAAAAACCCTTCACAAAAAAGGGCTGGTGGAGTGGCTCAAGGTGTAGGCCCTGGGTTCAAATGCCAAAATTGCAAAAATATAAAAAAAAAAAAAAAAATGGAAGAGAGCTGGGCATGGTGGCACTTGCCTGTAATCCCAGCACTCGGAAGGCAGAGCCAGGAAGATAGAGAGTTCAAGGCCAGCCTGGGCTACATAGCAAGACCCTGTCTGGAAATTAAAAAAAAAAAAAAATAATAATAACAATTTGAAGTTTTTGGTCAAAGACACTGCTCATTTAAAAAAACAAATTGTGAAACAGAACAAAAAATTTAAGTTGTGAAACAAAACATAAAATACACATAACTATGACAAATAATTACAAGGTAAACACGAGGTAAGCACAGAACAATACCAGTTTCTATAAACTCCTGTATCCCCTCCCTCTCACCAAAGGTCACTATACTCTTGAATTTTCTGGAAACCATAAACCTGCTATTTTTTTTTTTTTAAATATAGTTTTACCACATATATCTGCAATACTGAACAAGAGTTCTGTTTCTGAATTTCATAAAGAGCTCATCATACTGCATGTCAGTTGTTTGGCATTTTCCTTAAGAGATGAATTGAGCTTTGAAGTAAAAAGATGCCTACATTCACACATAATAGAAGAAAAATAAATTTAAGGTAAACACTGCACTGACAGAAATAAGCACATAGGCTGGTGGGGTAGCTCGAGAGGTAAGAACGCCTGTCTAGCAAGCAGCCTCAGTACTGCCAAAAAAGAAACGAACACTTAAAAATGTTACGGATAGACAGTGGGAGCCCTCTTTTGAGACTATTTGGAATTGTCTGTCAGAGTTTGATTTTTTTCTTTTATTTTGATGGAACTGGGGTTTGAACGTAGGGCTCTGAACTTGCAAAGCAAGTGTTCTACCACTGGAGCCATACCTCCAGTCCATTTTGCTCTGGTTATTTTGGAGATGGGGTCCTGCTTGGGCTGGCCTTGAACCAGGATCATCATCCCAATCTTAGCCTCCCAAGTAGCTAGGATTACAGTGGTTAGCCACAGGTGGCCTGGCTTAGTATTTTAAATTCATATACCCTCTGATCCAGCAATTTCATTTTAAGAATTTATCCCAATGAATATATTTAGCAGGTAGGATTAGAACACGGGCTGTGGAGGCAGACAAATTCAGAACCAAAGGCAAGTTCTGCTAGTAAGTAGCTCAGGCACGTCAGTGAATTTCCCTGAGCTTTGCTTTCTGCTGTTGTAAAAGAGGTTACCACCTACCTTCTAGGGTTGTGGTGATGGCCAAGTGTAAAATCACACACAAAACACTTACCAAAGTCCCTGGAAAATACTAAACAAGCTATAAATATGAATTATTACTGTGAGATAAACAGGAACAAAATTTCTAAAGATCTAGACAAGCAGCTACCAAGGAACAGAAAGAATGTAACGAAGATGAGAAGACACTAAATGGCAATCTCCAGTAAACCCTTCCACGGCTCTCACAGTACATCACCCATCCTCTTTGCCTCTCCCTACTTTTGTCAATCAAACTCCTGAACTGGAGTGCTGCACAGAAACCAAGCAGTGTCCCAGTTCCTGGGTGATGGACATTTAGTGGTTGTACCTTTCAGATTTCATAGACTGTTTTCAAAGAGCCCCTGGCAGGATGGAAAACAGACTCCAAGAACATGAGATGCAGAAACCTCATCAGGGCAGCTAAGATAGGCATCACGACACGTAGTGATCATACACAGCACACATTGTCTGACCCTTAGCCAAGACTCACCCCCTTTCTTTCATTTTAGAAAAATTCTGATGATAACAGATAATGTGTACCAGAAAATATCTGAAAGGATCAATATAAAGAAATAGAAGCCAAGCGTGGTAGCTACATCCCTGCAGTTCTAGCACTCAGAACACTGAGACAGGAAGATTTCAAGTTTGTAATCTAGGCTACATAATGAGACCTGTCTCAAAACAACAAACAAAAGAAATAGAACATATTTTCAAAAGAACGACAGAAAAGAGACCAGGTAGAAACCAAAGATCTAGAATTACAAAGGCCAGTACCTGGGGGGTTTGTCCTCTTGGGTATATTCTGAGGTTCTTCATTTGGCCCAAAAATATTAGATGCCATCCTATTAGGTCGGTTTGAAGGAACAGCTTCTTCTGGACTTCCAAAAATATTGCTCGATTCTCCTCCTGGGGGTTTCATGGACCTACAAGCACAGAGCAAATATGAGTCCCTAATGGCTGACCTTAACAGATTCCAGACTCACTGTGATTGGGTAGTGGTCTCTCCCATGGTGTAACACCAGACAGAAACGTGAACCTCATGTGTATGTGGTGGTCTCACTTGCAATCCCAGCATTCAGGAGTCAGAGGCAGGAGGATCACAAGTTCAAGGATGGTCTGAGATACAGAGTGAGACACTGCTTCAAATACACACACAAGGTGTGAACCACATGAGGACTCTTTCTACATTTTCTAGGAGCTACATTATAAAATAAGAATCAGAAATGAATTTGAATCATTTTAATTAATCTAACACTTATAAAAGACATGGCTCAAGAGGTATTTTGTTCTTTTCGAGCTGACTTCCACTCTGGTGGGTAGCTTATACTTGTACTATGTCTTTATCCTTACCAAACTTGTCCAAGTTCTCAGTAGCCTTGGTGGTCAGGGACTGCCCTGGCAGAACACACAGGTCCTACCCTGGGGATTGGGCTTGACTTGTGGGTAAATGGTAGATACCCTCTTGTTTGTTTTCTAGAGACCTTTAGAGAGGTATTATGGCGTATCATACCCTAGATCTAGACTGCCTAGGTTTGAACGGTGGCTCCATTACTTCCTGTGTGACTTTTGGCCAATTACTTGATTTCTCCTTTCCTCAGATTCATCATCTGTGAAGATATTCCTTACTTATAGGGTTGTTGCAGGGATCTATACTATGATGATCATCTCTGGCCCCAAGGTCTAGTATAACTAGTGAAAAGCCCAGTAGCAGAAAAATAAAGAATGACAGTAGCACCACTGTTTATTTTAGACCAGGACATTTGGTATGAGGCTTTCCTCTAAAATCCACTGGCATTCTATGAATACTGATTTTAATTAATCACCCAGGAAGAATGTGATTTCCATTCTTCAGTCACAACATCAGTATCTATCTCCAGTCCCAATCTTTGTCATGCATTATTCGGAAGTTTAAAAATAGACATTTCAGAAGTAGATGAGCAGGATCTTGAGTCAGTTTTTATTCCAACAATTGAATACCTAGGGAAATTTCCACAAAGCTCTGCTTTGACACCCAGAGCACAGGTTAATAGCAGCACTGTGGAACACTGAATTCATATGTATCTCTTCAGACATCTGGTTAGAGACTTTTAAAATGTATTTCAGGGGAGAGAGAGATCCCCTGAAATTGAGTTTTAAACCAATGAGTGGCCCACTAGGCCTAAGCAATGGGACTGTCTGACCCAGACAATTTGAAACACTTGAAATTAAAGGACTGAACACCCCATGAAAGTAAGAAGTGGAAGTTAGTCCTAACTGGAAAGTCAAGCAAACACTAACTGCTTAAAGTTTAGTTAACAAATGAACAGGTTAATTAAAAATGCCAGAAAGCAGCTGATGACCACTGTAATTTAACATGAATAGAATTCTCAGGTTCTCTGCTATGAGGCAGGACAGCAGAAAGTGAGAAACTCCTGTGCTCTACAGAGGGCAGACAATGGGACATCTGCACAACCTCTGCAGGCCACTCAACACCACAGATGCCAGGCACACGCTGGCAGGCCTCTGGACTGGTGCCAACAAACCTGCCAGTTCAGCAGTTATCATTTCCTGAAGAAGGTTCTTAATGAAGGGGGGTGGTTTGTTTAACTAATAACCAGGCTTAGAAAGGGCTTAACCAGATCTTGGGTCAGGCATGTTGGTAGTGGACAAGGTGAGGCCTTCTGACATCTGTATCCATTTATAAACCACACAGTTCTGATTATTCTCCATATTTTTCTTAGCTGCAGCAGGTCTAACATGCTTGGGTCTACAGATATCTCTGTGGGAAAAAAAGAGAGCTGCAATCTTTAGAACTGAATTCAGCATAGTTTCATGCCAGTATGAGTTAAAATTTCTATTTTACTCATCTCCAACTATTTGAAAGATGGCTGTCTTTCAAACCCTCTGATCAGGACTCATGCAGACCTTCAAGCTTCAGCATCTCCCCAGTCTCTTCTGCCTCTAATATATCTCCACAGAACCTACACCAGCAACCCTGCACAAGACCCTTTAGACAAAAACATAGGTAAGAACAAATCCTTTGCCCAGAGCTTCAGACTTAACAGGAAAGCCACATCTGTGTACCCGTAGTTTGTGAGCTGTGTGAGACTAGGTGTTCCTGCAACTCCAAAGCTATCTCTGGAGGAGATGAGAAACCCAATTGAGTCTGTGGTCTCTGCACAGAAGGTAAATGATAGTTACTCTAAATGAAATGTTAATATAGGGGTGGTGGAAATGAAGGATCTAATATTGTTCTGTGTACTTTCCCAAATTTTATTTGAAAAAAAAAAAGAAGCACAGAAAAGGAAAGTGGTGCCATACAATGTTTTGGCAGAGATTAGGATGCAGAGGCATGGCTGCCTGGGCAGGGGTAGTGGCCATCTCCATCATAAAGGCGGTGGGGCCAGCACCACAGGTTTCACAGTCTGCAACAGCCATGCAAGCAAGCAGGGGCTCATATAAATGGGACTGAGAGTTCAATAGGCCTTTCAATAAAAAATAGGGCCCACAACAATGGCACAGTGTGGCCTTCTGGAAGCTACAAGCAGCAGTTATCAGAGTAATACTAGTGGGGAGGGAGAAGGGAGTACTAGCCAGCTCAAATACTTGTGGACAAATGTAAAGGTATTCAAAATACACACGGGAAAATAAACGGCACATGTCAAGAAATGCCATACAACTCAGGTGGGCTGTGGCACTGGAGAGGCAGAGGAAGACAAAAGTGATTCACCTGGAGGGGGCTCAAAGTGTCTGGCCTTCCTCCAATATCATGTCCCAAGTTTCAGAAAAGCTTTTGGGGAGTGGTCAGGCTTGAGGAGAGGACATGCAAAAAAAAATTGGGCTAAATTCTACAATATTAATTTTGCAATTTAAAAGGCTTTAATGACGGCTAGAGCATAATGCTTTTGCAGCACAAAATAATCTCTCATCAAGAAAACAAAAAATGCAGCAGAATCGGAAAACATTAAGACCTGGAAGAGTAATCTTACAAGCAGCCACAGCTCCACGTCTTTCTGGAGGCATCAGTCGGGCAGGCAGCTACCCAACCTCCACCCCGCTAGCTCAGAGATTTCCCATTGCGCTTCAGCCTCCAATTAAGAAGGCTGGGTTTCTTTCCCCGACAGCCAAGATGAGGATTTTCCTCCCTTTCATAAAATCCTCTCCAAAGGATGTCTGCCCTGCAGCTAACTTCTGTAGCTTGGCAAGTCAGCCTAACCTCCGTCTCACTGTTCATCGCCCGCAACTATTTTCTGGGCAGGCAGGTAGCTCGGAGCGGGGGTCATCAATGGACTCAGTGGGACAGAGACAGCGCTGGAGCAGGGGGTCCCGGCCGGACCCAAGGGCGGCGGGCCCGCGTTATCCCGCACCACGATTGATTCGGTTGTCCCCACCCTGTCAGTGCCATGGCGTGGGCAGACACCTGGCCCCGGTCGGGAGGGTAGCGGCTGCTGCCCCAGCTCCGCCGCGTTCACAGGTCATCAAGGGGGTTCAGAGGGGGCTGGACGCGGGAAGCGCTCTCGCGCGGGCGCGCCAAGTTCCGCAGCGCCGTCCCCGCGCTCCCGGGCACTTTCGGAAGCCAAGGGGAGTCCCGGGGTTCCAGCCCCGCTCCGCCCTCCGCTCAATCTTCCCGGGAGGCCCAGACTCCGCCGACGCCAGTACGCGAGCTGGGCACCGGAGGGGAGCCCCACCCGATGCCGACAGTGTTTGTGAAGTCGCCCGTCCCCGCTCGCCACGTGGCGGCGGCCCCGCACCCGCCGGGTCGCTCGCGTCAGCCCGCACACCTGGAACCCGCCCGGCCGGCCTCGCCGTCCGCGCCCTGGAACATGTCCGCCGTCGCTCCGCGCCACTCAGCTGCCGCGCTGCGGTTCCCGCCCGGCCCAGCGCAGGTACCCAGACCCACCCGCGCCCGTTGGACGCCGTCAGCGCTAATCACGCCTCCACAGCCTATCGCGACGCCGGCCCCGCCTCTCAGCCTGCCCCCTGTCGGAAAGGCCTGGGCCGACTGGTGTCGCGCTCGCAGCGGATTGGCCGGAGCAGAAGCCTCTCAATGCTTCGTGCGCGAGTATTGGCCTGCGAGCTCGCCCCGCCCCCTCCAGGAGCGTCCTTTCGGACACGCCCGCGCAGGGAGCCAGGTCCCTCCGCCCCTGGCTCGCTGGGGTTAGGCGCAGAGGGGCGGCGGTGGGAGGTGCTGGCGTACACTGCAGCGCGCTCCGGAGGGAGCGAGGCTCTCGGGGAAGCAGCTAAAGCCCAGAACAGAGCTTGCTGGCTGTGCTGGAGCCCCACCTGCCTGCCCCCAGGGCTCAACAAACCTGCGGGCAGCGCCCAAGCTACACCTGCCTACCCCAGGGCTCACCAAGGCGCACTGGCGTTAAAAACAGGCAGAAAAGGCAATCGTTAGGTCAAGAATTAGTATATATTTATGCACAATAAAAACATTTACAAGTTGAACTGGAAAATTAAACAGAAGTTTAACAGCTTTTGTTTATTATATTAAATAACCAAAACACCTTTTATTCCCCAAATTGGTAAAGAATAAATAATATAATTTACAATATGGTACAAAAAATAATCAGGAAGGACAGGCATTTTGCTTTATAATACACTGTATATGTATATTTATAATCTATAAAACAAATTCACATCTCAAACAAGCCGGAAACCTTAGATGATATGGCTTAACGATTATTAAAGCAAACAGCACTGAGTTCTGTGGCCTGGCTGCACACTCCAGCCAGTGACCCTCAAGGAAGAAGGGGTGCGTTGGTGTAGTGCTTCCGACACTGGACTGACCTCACGTGACCTACGAGTTACTGGGAGATCAGGAGACCAACAGTTGGGAAAGGTGTGCTGTGGGAGTTCATTAAAAAGTTTTGTTTTCTTAAGACAAAGTGCGGTATTTCCTCATGAACGCATCTGTCAGACCTGTGTTTTAAAAAGTAGATATAAATGTTTCCCCCTTGCTTGTTTCCAGAGTCTTTCAGAACAAGCTCTACTCTACATACTATTGAACCAAAGAGACCTTCCCACCACACCAAAGGAAAGAACAGAATTTCATTGCTGAGAAGCCAGTGTGACCAACTGATGAAATGTCCACCAAAAACTTCCGCTGCTGGAGCAAGTGCTCTACCCCTCTAAGATGTATGAACTTTACCTGCCTCTAACTCTTGCAATGGTCATCACCCTGCATTCCCAAAAATATCGAGGCCAGACACCAACTTCCTTGACCCCAGAGACACTCGGTCTCAGTCTTCAGAAAAAATGAACCAGCCAGTAGCTCCCAGACATTAGGATTAGGTAGGGAAGGATTTTTCTAAGAAACTGATCCCATCTCACACATGTGCTCCAATACACGAAGGAAGCCGCAGGTTCACTGGACCATCTTAACTGTGCTGGGAAAGCAGAGGAAGATGCAGGGCCTGGGAGGCTTCTCTGCTGGGTCTTTTGAAAACTCCAGCTTTTAAACAGCTGCCTATTTTTGTATCTATGCATTTAGGCTAGGAGAAAAGGAATCCCCTGTTTCTCTGATACAAATGACACTGTTTGCCCTTAACATGGCAAACAAATCCATGTACCTGTCTGGCTGTTAGGAAGGCTTCAGAATCCTCTGGATTCCTTCAGCTTCACTGTTGGACATAAGTCAGTCCACTCCACCCTCAACCAGTGATGACAACAGCTGTGGTCTGTGGCTCCCAAAGCAGTTTCTGCCTAGGTGGGTGAAGTGGACATAGCAGAGGCCTAGGAAAGCTGATTTTAATCTCCAGAGTTCTCCTTTCAGAAGCCATGAAGTAACAGGCCTCAAGGTGTCCCCTAGTGAGAAACAGCTCAGGACTGTGATTACCCAAGCAGTTCTCGTGACCACTGGGCCACTGTCAGCTTTCATGGTATCTCTAGCCCCAACTGGGAGTATAAGGATGTAAGCAGTGGGCTACCACGAGCTAGGGTGGAGTCACTCTGGTTCCTACATTGTGGTCTACCTCCTAACACAGTGTGCACTCCTCTTCTCATTCCTCCAGAGTTGTGAGACCATTTTCTCAGACCAAGATGCTGTCCACAGGAAGTTGGGATGGGGCTAGGCGGTGAGCCTCCTCACAGGCACCAGCAGCAGGAGGAGCCTGGGAGGTGAAGGAAGGCAGTTGCTGCCTGCAGCCACCGTCCTCCTGTTTCCTCCTTCAGCACCTGCAGTCTGGAGTGGTCTCATGGGCTGGTGAGAATGAGAGTGTGTGATCAGAGGCCTTTCCTCCCCTTTTTGTTGCAGATGAGGAGAGAAGCTGGGGGTGGGAAAGGATGGGTCTCAAGACCCACCACACGAGTAGGGAAAGAGGAGAGGTGGGGGAGCAGAGGTGGTGGCACATTCAGGTTCATTGTGGTAGCTAGGTGAGAGGGGAATTGCCTGACCAGCACCACAGCCACAGATGCCAGCCATGCTAGATTGGGCTGGGTGGTGATTTGTGTGCTTGAACCTCCTGAGGCTGAGAAGGCAAAATAGCCCTCATTAGCACCATTCTGGGGAAAGACTGAACACTGGAGTAACTAGAGGCCTCTGTGAGACTCCAGGAGGAAGTCACCAGAAGGCCAGAGTGACGAGAACTCTCACTACTCCCTGACATCTGAATTCTGCATGGGTCCCAACAGGAGGAAGAAACAGAAGACTTGGAGCAAAGGCACAAGCAAGGGATTAAACACCTGTGCTGGTTGTACCCTGCGCCAATGCCAACGCCAACGCAAGGAAAGTCAGCTCTGAAAAAGAGAAAGCTGTCCCTGCAAAGGCAGGTCTGTCTCAGAGGCCAAACATTAACATGAAAAGTTCAACAATGGATCAGGAGAAAGCCTTATTTGTGTCATAGTAGTGCTTGGGGTCAGCCCTGTAGAGAGAAATAACATCTCAGGTCTACAGGGAACTTGCCGGGGGACACAAGAAGGATACGAGTTAAACAGAGGACTCTGTTCTTCCTTGTTCATGTCTCCTAATTCTTAAAACACAAGAAAAACACTTTCAACCAGCTTAGCAGGACCCTATACAAAGTCCACACAACCTGCATAAGACATGATTCTTTTCCCCCTCCTATTACGCTAGACAGATCAAAGCCTCTGGAAGGGCAAAGCTTGAGGCAAGGGTTGATATTCTGGGGAGATGGCATTGGTTACACTGCCCTGGGACCCTTCTCTGCTCTGTGGTCAGGGAATCCATGAAGTGTTTTGTAGTCTCCAGTGGTAGCCTGGGTGCCCTCAGCATCACCACAGGCAGGGTGACCAAGTGGCAAAAAGGGTGTCAAAAAGAAAGCCACAGTGGCTGGAGTCACCCTGCATAACAGATATCACAGTTCCCAGGAAGCAAGGACTGTGCCAGACTTGCCTTCTGCAGGGAGAAACCCTCTGTAAGGCCCATTCCACATGAACACAGAATGTTGGATTGTCATGTGGCCCTCAGCACAGCAAGGAAGGGCTTGCACACCACTACAGTTTCTGAGGCCCACCTTTCTCAGAGCTCACCCTGGCCTCTCGGGACATGATGGCCCCTGACTGTTGAGATGGGGCTGTGACTAGCTGCTCCTGTGTGCTGCACATCCTGGGCTGCAGAGGTTCCCTTGTTCCAACGGTCTTCTGGGGATTCTGGACTTGACTTGCTTTCTCTAACTTGAAGAGGTTTCATCCGCCACAATGAAGACAGCCAGTCCTACAGGCCACTCTCACACCTCCAGCATCCAGCATGCCTTCTCCACGAGGCACAGTCACTGGGAGAGGTCACCAACAGGGGGGCCACCTCCACTGCCATCAAACAGAACCTCTCGGCGGCCAGGCTCAGCGATGGACAACTCTTGGGCCAGGTCATTGAACCTAGATATGTAATCAATGCTGTTCTCATTCATCATGCACACCAGCTGGGAATCCACCACCTGCAGTACAGAGGGAACAAAGGAAAACCAAGTCAGATGGCCCTCTGTTTGGACTGGAGGCACCTGACCTCTAAGGCAGGCCATAGATGGAAGGAGCCTATTGCTCCATGGAGAGCTTCAAAACCCTCTTGCAGTCTGACCATGATCACATTTTTCCTGCAAGCGTTTGTGGAGGACCCACTGGGAACCCAGCGAGAATAGCTGCTGGGATTAGAGCCATAGCCCCCTACCTCCTGAGACTTATGAGGGAGACAATCTACAGAGGGGCAAGAGGCAACAAAAAAGGCAGAGATCAGGGATGAGCATGAAGGAAATGAGAGCAGAATACTCTGCCACAGAGTCAGAGGAGCATCTCCAACATGTCATAACATGACAAGTTTGAGAGCACGTCACATAGAATGTATAAAGTAATAACCTGCCTATCATAAGAAACAGCAAGGGCAAAGGCCCTGAGGTGAGCACAGGCTTACAGCTGTGGAAGGCCAGTAGGCCCGCCACACAGAAGGCAGGTCTAGGTGCTGTGACTTTATCCTGTGGGCAAACACATAGAATTGCTAGTCCTCACTATATCCACTACAGAGGATGCTAATGGGGATGGAGGCCTTTGTTTTGTCAACTCAAGTGACTAGCAGTGCATGCCATATGGCACACCCTAAATAAATATTCATTAGTGAACTGTGTAACACAATGAATGAATGAGAAATCTTTGGAAATTCATTTCATTTTTTTAGTGCTACTGGGTCTTGTGTTTGCTAGTAGGCGCTCTACCACTTGAGCCATGCCTCCAGGCCTTTTGCTTTAGTTATTTTTTGGATACTGTCTCATGTTTTTTGCCCTGGCTAGCTTGGACTGCAATCCTATTTATGTCTTCCGCATAACTGTGAAAACAAGTGCATGCCACCATGCCCGAATTTTTGGTTGAGATGGGGACTCACTAACTTTTTGCCTGTGATGGCTTCAAATTGTGATCCTACAGAATAGCTGAGATAACAGGCATGAGCTGTCACACGTGGCTAGCCTTTGGAAAATTATGAGTATAGCCATCATGACATGAACTGAATTTTAAACTTTGTTTATGAGGCATGTTGAACAAATCAAATTTTTTTATTTTTTGGTGGGACTGGAGTTTGAACTCAGGGCTTCACACTTGCAAAGCAGGCACTCTACCCCTTTGAGCCACATCTAAAGTCCATTTTGCTACGGTTGTTTTGGAGATGGGGTCTGTCAAAGTATTTGCCTCCACCCTCCCAATCTCAGCCTCCCAAGTAGCTAGGATTACAGGCATGAGCCACTAGCCTCCAGCTTGAAATCTGTTTTCAAAATGAGCAAAGCCAGGTGTGGTGGTATATGTCTGTAATCCCAGGCTAAGGGAGGTTGAGGAAGGAGGATTCCAAGTTCAAGGCCAGCATGGGCTACATAGCAAGTTCCAGGTCAGCTTGAGCTACATAGTAAGACTCTGTCTCAAAAATATTAAAAAAACAAAAAACACCCAAAACCCAAAAATGTTATGTAAAGAGTGGCCCTCTTTTCCCCATGTATTTGTCCCCAGGTTCCATCTATATCAACCTGTGATCAATCTAGCTCCATCCCCACACACAGACCCCATCACCATCAGGCCACTTCACCCACTAATGTTTCAGATCGTGATCACTTCCAGACAATGGGGACTTTTTCCAAATACAAAAGGTGTTTTTAAATGGAGAGGTCCTGGAAAGACCCACGGCTGAGCACTCACTGGCTTTCTGCAGAAAAATGGACAGTGTTCTGAGCAATTCACTATCCTCCCACATACAAGGCACTCTGATTTGGGAATTGAGGTGGGGCTGCAATTCAGCATTCCTGATTCCAAGGTGCGTCTGCAGGACCCATCTCCACAGGAGCTGGGGCTTTTAGTGTCTGTCCTAACACAGGAAGGGAAAGAGATCTGTTTTCTGTGGAACATTTGTGCTACAAGGTGGTCTGTGAATAAAGATTCTGTGGCCAAACAGATTTAAGAAATGCTATATGCTGTGTAAGGGAGAGTCATTATATTATTGTGTGTATTTAAACCACATCATGGCTCAGAATTCTCAAGAGCTTCCCATAAGTTTATCATCTCAAGATACACATTAGGATTCTGAGAAGCTCGAGAGTCTATGGGAAATAGCTGTTTTGAATTTTGTTGACCCCCAGTTTCCTTCAGTTGTCTGACTACAAAATCCTCACAGATTACATGCCAAGGCCTTGGCACCTGGAGGAACCATTTTTCAAAGTGCTACTTCAGGACATTAATGCCAGGATGAGCCCACCCAAGTGGTATTATAGACTTACGATCCTGCATAAGTCCAGTCTCTAACAGCACCTTAGGTCATAACTAAGTGCACCTGTCTTTATCTCTCCCACCAGTGCTGCCCCTGAAGACATGACTGGCCACAGATGCATGCCAACAACACAAGAACTTCTCTGGGTAGCTTCAGGAACAGTCAACCTAGCTGAGGACGTTGAGAGGGACACTGCACTGACTAAATACCTGCTGTAATGTGACTCCTAGTGTCACTGCACGAGTGTGGGAGAGGTTCAGGTGGAGAAAAGATGGTACCCTTCTGCAGAACCCATTGCCAAGCTGCACTGGGCCATGGCCACAATACAGCACAAGGAGATGCTAAACAAAAGTGACCTGCTGTCAGGACCTCTGATGACACAACAGCTTATAACCTCCATAATGGCACTGCATTTCAAAGATCAGGAAACCGAGGGCAGCCTAAGGTCACAGCTGGAGGATACAATGAGATACAACTTGGCTCTGTTGGCCTTCCCACTCTCCACTCTGACTCTAGGGCCTCCCAGGTTCTGATGGACCAGGGTCGGCCACTGGTCACCTCTATAGACCCAATATTGCAAGATGACAGAGGTCAGACACTTGAATTTATATATGCTATCTCCTGACATTACCTCCTGGTGAGTTCCTGTAACTTACAATTCTCAGGAGGAACCAGGCAACCTCTAGAACAGGGGTTGGGCAGTCAAAATCAGGTATGCAGCGCACTTACCTCCGCGACATCAGCCAGCGACCTGGACACAAAAGAGTCCCGTGAGTTTCCATCCAGCAAGCTGGGGCCAAGCAAGGAAGTGGCACTGCTGGCCCCCAAGCTGGTCGGCAGCATCTTCCGACTCTTCTCTGGGGAGATGAAGCTAGCTACAGAGACAAATTTGAAGCCATTACCCTGAGTGTGACGCAAGGGTACTGAGGGCTAGTGAGGCGCCAGGTCAGGCCCGTCCCACATTAATCCCCATGCTGTGCCAAGGGCTTGGGTTGTACCGTCATGGGTGGCTGGCTTTTCTCATATAATGATCTGAGACAGATGTGTCCTATAGTACTGCACTGCCGGGTTCCCCTTCCCTCCCCCTCCCACCCACATTAAAAAAAAATTATTCTCTGAGACCAGTCCCTCACTGACGGGCACTAAGGTTGTTTCCAACTTTTTATGATTTTCATGTGACTTTCCCTAAATCTGTACTGTTATTTGTAATAACAGGAAACACTCACAGGGAGACTGGCTCCATCCACTTCCTCCAGACCCAGAGTACCCAGTCTTCTGAACCACCAAGGGCTGCTTGTCACAATGACCAACCTTATACACTCACTACTTTAAAACTTCGAGAGGCCAAACCCCAGAAATGCTAATGGGAGCTCTTCCTATGCCCCGAAACAGCAGACAGGATGGAGGGTGTGTCTTTCCTGGTATGCATACTAACACCCGGTGCCAGGGAGAAACAAGTGGGGAATTACAAACTATGACTCTTCCATGTCTGGTCAAGAATATATGCTGCAATACCACTCTTAGGGATACACCCAAAAGACTGTGACACAGGTTACTCCAGAGGCAGCTGCACACCCATGTTTATTGTAGCACTATTCACAATAGCCAAGTTATGGAAACAGCCAAGATGCCCCACTACTAATGAATGGATCAAGAAAATGTGGTATCTATACACAATGGAATTTTATGCAGCCATGAAGAAGAACGAAATGTTATCATTCGCTGGTAAATGGATGGAACTGGAGAACATCATTCTGAGTGAGGTTAGCCTGGCCCAAAAGACCAAAAATCGTATGTTCTCCCTCATATGTGGACATTAGATCAAGGGCAAACACAACAAGGGGATTGGACTTTGATTACAAGATAAAAACGAGTACACACAAGGGAGATATGAGGATAGGTAAGACACCTAAAAAATTAGCTAGCATTTGTTGCCCTCAACACAGAGAAACTAAAGCAGATACCTTAAAAGCAACTGAGGCCAATAGGAGAAGGGGACCAGGAACTAGAGAAAAGGTTAGATCGAAAAGAATTAACCTAGAAGGTAACACACACGCACAGGAAATCAATGTGAGTCAACTCCCTGTATAGCTATCCTTATCTCAACTAGCATAAACCCTTGTTCCTTCCTATTATTGCTTATACTCTCTCTACAACAAAATTAGAAATAAGGGCAAAATAGTTTCTGCCCAGTATTGAGAGGGTGGGGGGAGAGGGAGGGGGCAGTGAGTGGTAAGGGAGGGGGTAGGGGCAGGGGGGAGAAATGACCCAAGCATTGTATGCACATATGAATAATAAAAAAATAAAAATTAAAAAAAAAAAAAAAAAGAATATGCTGCAAGACAGCTGCAACACCCACTTCAGAAAAAAGGGAAGGATAGAAAGGGAAAAGGAGGGAGAGAGGGATGGAGGAAGGAAGTTGAGGCTCAGAGGTGGCCTGTTTCTTCTGTGGGCCTGTTGAGATCTGTACAAGCCCAGAGGGGAGAGGCCAGGCTAGCTGGATGGACTGAAGAGGGCACCAAGAACTTTATGGGTGATGGGGTGTTCTGTCTCCACTGGGCTGTGGGCTGCCAGGGTATATATGCATGTCAACAATCATGAACTGCATACTGAAAGTCTGTGCATTTTCCTACAGGTAAATTATGTTAACTCAGAAAAAAATAAAAACTTGAGAAACAAACAAATAGTCCTAGTAGAAGACTGCTGAGAATGCAGTGTCTTCTAGGTTCCATTCTGTGCTGTCTGGTAAAGGAGACCCCTCCTAGACACTCACCGAACAAGCTGCTGAGTGAGGAGTCTGTTGAGTCGCTGGGGTACCATTGCGGGTCATGGGTGGGGGAAGCAATCCAGTTGGGCTGGGGGCTGCTGGACGGGGAGGGAAGACTCTTGGAACTGTCACTGCCATTTAGTTTTGCTGGAGAAAGAGGGACTCCTTCACCTGCCAACCAAAATCCTGGGTCAGAGACGCTCCCTCAACCCACCATCAAGAAAGCAGTAAGAGCCAGGTGCCAGTGACTCACTCCTGTAAACCCTAGCTACTCCAGAGACAAAGATTAGGAGAATCGTGGTTTGAAGCCAGCTGGGATAAATAGTTTGTCAGACCCTTTCTCAAAAAAAACCAACACAAAAAAGGGCTGGCTGAGTTGCTCAAGTGGTAAAGCACCTGCCTATCAAGTGTGAGGCTCTGAGTTCAAACCCCAGGAACACCAAAAAAAATTAAAAATAAAAGCAACAGGGGGCAGGGTTTGTGCACTGCTGAAACAAGGAAAACCAGGACCCAATGAATCCCTATCAGAGACAGCAGTGCTTTGCAGGCAAAAACCACAGAGCCTTTAGGGTAGCTTTATGCTATAGGGAGGACATAATGCAGAATACAATGCAGCAGCACTCACCACCAGGGGCACCACCATGGGAGTGAGGCCAAAGTCTCTTAGTGGCTACCTGTCTAGTAATTTCCTAAGCACTGTCTGCAGATTCATAATCAACCAAGAAAGTGATCCCTGGGCTGCAGAGAGCCTCAAGGGTCAGCCTACTCTCTTCTCGAGGTCAGGAGCAATTCTACCAGAACATGAGCAGTCCCAGGTCCCATAACTACCTTCTCCATCTGTCTGCACTGCCCCTACTAGAGCCAGGATGAAACACCCTGTTGTGGCAGATATTTGGTGCTCAAACATGACGGCTGTGCCGGCGCTGGTGGCTCATGCCTGTAATCCTAGCTACTCAGGAGGCAGAGATCAGGAGGATTGCGGTTCAAAGCCAGTCCAAGCAAATAGTTCCACAAGACACTATCTTGAAAAAAAAGCCTTCACAAAAAAAGGGTGGAGTGGCTCAAGGTGTACATTAAAAAAAAAAAAAAAAAAAAAAAAAAGGACAGCTGAATCACAATGTTCCTAGGAACTTTGGCAAATACTCTGAATCACAATGTTCCTAGGAACTTTGGCAAATACTCAGGCAGGTTAGGACAAATCTGCCCCGTCCTGGTAAGAACCTGATTCCAGGAGTGGTATGCAAGACTGCCTGTTCTTACCATACTGGCCAGAGCTGATGGCAATCTCAATGATGGAGTCACTGATCTGTGTGGCAGGCTCTCCCTGTGAGAGCACGTCCTCAGGTGGGCCAGGCAGGGAGATGTCTAGTAGTGCGGAAACATTAGGTGGGGAGAGCCGGGTGCTGGAGCCCTCTGATGAGGGTAGAGTTGTGGAGAGGCCATTCTGGAGTGGAGTCTTAGGCAATTCGGGTAAGGAGAGAACAGACGAACCCTGCTGGGAAACAGGTACTGTTCAGACCTAAGTGGCCAATCAGAACTCAAAACACAACAATGAACCTGGCCTCACCCTCCCAGCTCAGTGGCTGCAATGGGAGCATCCTTCCAAGTGAGGAACACACTTCGAGAGTTAAAACCATGAGCAAAAGCAGTCAGAAAGCCAGGAAAAGGTGCACTGTGCCTGCTTTGGCTGCCACCAGTGGTTTAACTGCTGATATTTAGGTGAAGAGTGAGGGCTAGGGGAGCCACCTGCTATCACTCCTTCCAGAACTGAGTCTGAAGGAAGAAAGCTGGAGCTGAGAGACAACCAGATTCATTCATTCACCAAAAAGTAGGGAATGTCTACTGGGTGGGGAGAAGGAAGGCTGCACTGGAAAGGGTCCCAAGCCAGCTATTTTATTCTGCAGCCCCAAAGCACTCTACCTGGAAAACATCTGCCATTGGCTCCTGCTCTGGCCTTGGAGGGACGCTAATAAATGGGTCACTCGTGCCCTGCAAGAACACCAGGAATGCCAGTGAGTGGACAATACACAGTGAAAGCTGTTCACAGTCGACCTGGCCTCCCAGCCAGAGGTGCAAGCAACAGATTGTGCTCTAAGCTGGAAATGTTAAATTTTTTGTTATTTCAAAGAGTGAATTCAAGCCCCAGTAGGAAGTTAGCCTGGTAATCTCAGGTCAGTTGAGTACTCTGGAGTCCATGGGTCTACTCTCTCATCTTCCTTGAGCAGCTCTCAAGCTGGCTTCTCCAGTGGATTCTCCAGTCCCTTGGGCCTAACCACTTCGAAGACAGAGCTGGGTACAGCATGACCCCAGTCCCATATCCTGGCTCCAGAGCCCCACCGCAGAAGCTAGTGGTAATACCAAACAGTCCCTCTCAAAGACACTTACACCCACAGCAGGGATGGAGTCACCATTCTGATGGGGTCTACTGGAGTCCTGCCCTGAGTTGGCAGGGGTCACCTCGTCTGAAGACAATGCAGAGATGCCAGATGAGCCCTCAGTATCCAAGACTGGCAGGGGGCTCCCAGGGATGATGCCAGCACTTTGAGCTGCCAGGTCGATCGCACCTGGAAATGGGAGCGACATTTCAAACCTTTGTTCCCCAACACTCCATGGTATGTGCCCAGAGAGCTCAAAGCAGCTTCTACCTCACACCTCACTTCAATGAGAAGCTGATAACTTTCATGTTCTCTTTGAAAGGTAACAAGATACTATGGTTTGGAAAAGAAAATATTAAAATAACTTGTGATAAAAAGTCACTCAGAAGCTCAACAGTAGCTGTCACTGTGCAGGGTAGAGACTTACTAGCTAGATGACTGGTGGCCTGAGGTGGAAGGACCTTGGGCACAATAGGCCGAGACAGAGCTGCTTTGGTCAGAGAAGACTGGATGGGTCGGAACCAGCCTTTACCTGCAAGGGAGAAGACAAAGGTGAACGCGTTAGCCTGGCCTACCCAGGAACAATGGACTGCAGAGGTGTTCCTTCAGACACAGTTGGGATCACAGAAAGCCACCCAATATTCCAAACTAACTTGGGGGATAAGAGATCATATCACACTGGCCCCTAACAAGGAGAGAAGCTCCAGGATCTGCCATGCTAGCACAACCATGTCTCCCAGGAACTGCTAAAAGGCTGTAGTCACCACTGTAATTCTCTAGGGATGGCTTTTAAGGGCAACAAGTCCCCAAAACGGGTACAGGATTCCTGGAGGCAGTCACTGTATCAGACCTTGGACTAAAAATTCTGCCACTGCAATTTGGTTTCATCCGGCTAGGTCTTCTGCATGAGAAAAGCAATCACTAGCTGATGGGTCTTGCAAGTATGTGTGAGATAAAAAATCAAGAAGACTAGTGGAGCTGACATGCAGCTCAGTGGTAGAGTGCTGGCCTAGCATGTACAAGGCCCTGGATTCCCCAGTACTGACCCCGTGCCCCCTGAAAAAACACTAGTAAAGACAAATCATGTGCTTCACTGATGAACTCTCACTCTAAGTGCCATGGCCCAAATACACCCAAAATACATTTGTTCCATAAAATGCCTGGCACAACTACATACAGAAAGCTGACAGCAGATGCTCCACTGAAATGAACTGAGCTGTAATGCCAAGAGGGCAGCCAGTTTAATCCACCTCTGAAAGAGGCACCCTCATTGCCACCTGGCAGAGCCTCTGATTTGCCCACCACTATAGCTGGGCCCAGCACAGAGGGTACACTTGGTATTCGCTGGTACACTGAACACAGGAATGCGAAAAATGTCATGGAAACCAACACCTGTGGTCCCAAGTGAGGTCACACTCAGGTTAGGACAGAAAAGCTAGCCCAGAGAAGCCCAGGCCTTACCAGCTATGGGAGAGTTAGACAGGATGGAGAAGGAGCACACGTTGTGGGATTGGTTTTCAGATGGTCTAGGGAGCAGTGTTCTCTGTGAAGAGAAAATGCAAATAATCAAGGTGATGAAAGGACTCCAGTACTATAAAAGATCATGCCAGAAACTGAGTTATAAAGGAACATTCCCAACAGAAAGGAGAACAGGGCAAGTGGACAAGGGAGCTTGTTCTACAGTCAACAACACTGGATGCCTGAGATAGTCTGAGTCGTTCTGTCCTAGGAGACTCAAGCCGCAGAACACTTGTTCCCATCTAAAAGGAACCCAGGAAATCAGATTTTCCTCAGGAAACACTGGAAGAATGTCAGAATAATCCAGCTTGAACCCAGAATGTCCTGCTGGAATGAAGCCAGGTACATATCTATTTATAACTGGGGTTGGGTACGGGGTGTGGAGACACTAAGGAAACTTTTATGACAAGAAGCATTGAAGGACAAGAAATGCTCCTTCCCAGGGTCCCGCTGTGGATAATGGACCACAATGGTCCTGTGGGCTCAGGGTTCCAGTCAGTGATGGTGACTCCCAGTGGGAGAGGAAGGGCACATACATGGACCCAGGAAAGGTTCTCTCACCTGGACCACCAATGGCTTCCGCAGGTGCCGTTTCCTCAGTTTCTTGGGCTTTGGTGAGAAGAAGTCCGACTGCATCTGTAAGGGACATAGCCATGAGGGCAAGCTTTCCACCAGCACAGCACCTGGCCTATGGGCACTCCGACTTGGCACTCACACTGATGGAGTCGAGGTGCTGCCGGAAAGTCAGCTCTGCTTCTTTACTGGGAGAAAAGAGTTTCCCATGTCGGCTATTAGGTGGCAAAGTTGTTGGAACAGCAAAAAGGCCACCATCTGAGTCACTTCCGCCTGTGCTAGAGGGACCAGCCACCAACAGGGGCCTTGGGGGATTTCTCAAACCTGGAAAAGAAGGAAGAGATGCATGCAACACTCATCCACATCATTTCTAGGTGAAGAGAGTTCCACTAGGAAGAAAACCAGAAAGGAATTCTCTTGACAGCTCTTCGTTGTCTCTATTTCAGCCCCCTAGATATGATGCTGCCTTTTCACCTTGTTCCCTGAGACTCCTGTGTTCACTTTGAGGGGACTGCAGGTTTCTGGAGAGGACAAGCACATCAACACGGCTCAATGCTCAGTGGGAAGGGCAGTCCTGCCACTGGACTTCTCAGAATTAGAAGGGCCTTCGGTGCATCTCAAGATTCTTTCTGGAGAGGAGAACTGAGCAACATTGGCTCTGTGGCCACCTCATCTCTATAGCAAGGCAGCTCAACTTCATGTGGTAGCAGGAAAGGAGCTGAAGACCACATGCCCAAAAGTCTTTGATCCGATGAAAGGACTAATTTTATAGAAACAGATCCAGAGATGGAAGGCCAAAAACTATTTACTTCACAACTACTATTCTGGGACTCTTGCTCCATCATTGTATGTGCCACAGCAAAGCACCTCCAAAGTTCATGGCAGTGTCAGGCCCACTCGAGAGTTCACAGGCCAGGCTCCGGCCCACAAGCACTGATGCAGACTTCTGGAAGCACAAGCCCCTTGGCCTATAAGCATCCTCAATTCAGAAGGAAGGCATTGAAGAGGACACTGAATTTGGAAATTTAGAAGCACAACAAAAGGCAGCAGAGGTGATAAAAAGTTGCTAGCTTGCCCTCATCAGGTAACCTTCCTTTGTCTGCAACAGCCTCCCTGGTTCAAGGTTTGCTGTTGTTTCCTGAAGCAGCCTCAGGAAGGAAATGGGAGACTGGGGGAGGGGAAACAGAAAACAAGGAACTACAGGAGTATGTGACAGAGTACAGCCCTAGATGTCCTCACAGGATTTGGAATGACTCTCAAGGAAACAGTCTTTAGTAGGGAGGCCACTCATAACATAGAAAGTCAGAGAAAGCATAAAGCCAGAACATTCTCTGAATGAAATATAAACTTGGAGAACTATTAACCCACCAGGACACTATGTCTGTTTAGCCAAAATATTACAGTCTCATTGGTACACCACCTATGCTAACTTGTAGTCTCCCTCATGACAGAGGAGGGTTATAGAGCACAAAGCCTTGGAAGACATCTGCCATGGTACATCATGCCAAAACATGAGGAGGCTACAGGAGCACAGGACAGAGCAGGAACACTCAAGTTGCCCTGCCTCCCTGGCTACTCCAATCCATCGCATCAGCGTCAGCAACAGCTGCCTGGCTTCCCCTGGGCCAGAGGAGCAAGTCTGGCCCACATTCATTCCGAGACACACAGCTCTATCACGGCAAGAGAGGGCACACAGGCCAGGTGCACCCAGGGCAAAGCCACAGACAGAATTCAACCTTCTTACCTGCCCTTAATATTCATGTAGAACTTATTGTCACTTTAGCTGTAATAATCTGCTTTATTATAAAAATGCTAAAAGTTTTGGGCTAGGGGTGTAGCTCAAGTGGTAGAGCACCAGCCTAGCAAGTGCAAAGCTGCAGTACCTCAAAATAAATAAATAAATAAAATAAAGCTGGGAAATGGGTCCATGTTTCTCTGGGGGTAACAGAATTTATGAACCTTAAATTATTTCCTAGGAGCTGAGGGTATAGCTCAGTGACAGAGCACTTGCTTAACATGAATGACGCCCTGAGTTCCATCCGCAGCACCATAAAATAGAAAAACAAAAACTGACTTAAAATAGGAAGTACATTGTGACTGCCAGGTTACTCTACCTTTCTTTCCATGACTGTATTAAACTGCCTGTACGTTCCTTAATGGAAGGTTGCTTTATTCTAATGTTTTAAATGCAAAGAAAATAGTAGCCACAGATTCGAGAACCAGTACTACTCCTCGGGAGGTTTAAGCCACTAAACTCAGCATGTTGTGGAAGCCACTGCTTGGCCTCATGACGCAAGAACCCCAAAGTAAACTAGCAAAGACCACAAGACCTTCTGCTTCTCACCAGCTACTGGGCCTACGACCCCTTTCTGACAAGCCCCTGAGCTCATCTCCCCCCTTCTGAGCCATAACTTCATCTGCTAGAACATGGCTGACAAGACAGTTGGGCTGGCCTCAGACACACCTGTGTGTTCAGCCTCATCAGGGCCCCCAGAGCTGTCAGAAAACCCCAAGCTTTACCTGGGGAGCAAGGTGCAGAGCCAGGTGGGAAGGTCTTGCTGCTGCGGAGGGCAGACTGGTTGCGAGGGCAGCGGGGGCTTCGGGAGCTGATGGTCACCACTTTCCCTGGGGGGGTTGTGGACTGCTCCTCTTGGGTAGGTCTCACTAAGGCTGTGGATGCCATGTTTGTTTCCAGAGCCTGGACAGACACAGGCAAAATAACACAGACTCAGCACAAGAAAAATGGCTCTGACAAGTGTACCCTACAGAGGTCTGAGAATAATCTCAAGAACTGGAAGATGGCACAGGACTCAGAGCCTGATTTCCAGAGTGGCAAAAGTCAGAAGTCAAAGCCATCTGACCTTGGTATGCCTCACAGACACTCAATAACTTGTCAGTTTAAAAAAGTACAGGTAAAAACAAAACAAACCCAACATGCATACAGACGCGTGCACACACATACAGAGAGCAGTCAAGTGAGTAATGAAAGTAACCACTATCCTCAGGATAGCATATGTCCACTGCCTGGACATGGCACAGGGAGGGAACTGGGCCAAACAGCCAGATTTCACCCATTCCGAGCACAGCCTGGACTGTAGGGAGTGGGTGCTGGATGGCAAGTGATAATAGCTTGCTTTTTAAAAAAGCCACAGCAAAAAGCTGGCGTAAGATGACTGCAGTGACCTCTTCTGCTGTGAATCAGAAAAAGGAAACGCACATTTACTCCTGAGAATCGAACAAAATCACAACCAAAGAGTTCACTGCTCCATCAAGATCCCAACCTCACAGGTGTCCAAGGCACTGCAGATATGGTTGCTTGGGTCGCAGGGCCACCCTGCAACCCCATCTCTGTTCTCAACTTGGTAGCCTTGCCACTCCTGGAAGGCCTGGTCAGAGACCCCCTCTCCTGTGCACTCTGCAGCTGCCATCCCAGCCCCTAGCCTGGACTTACTTCCTGGCTCTCCTGCCCGATCAGCAACCACAACACCGCCAGCCCTGGTCCCCATCTTCTGTGCCTTTCTGTGGTCCCCACTGGCCTCCAGGCTCCTTCCTACTTCTCCCATCCCTCACTGAACATTTCAGTTGACTCTGGCCAGTCTTCCGAGTCCAAGGCCTCCTGTTTGCCACAGCTCTGCCAAGCAAGAAGCAGCAGCACAGAGCACGTAATCCCCTCTGACCCAGGGTTTACCATCTCAGCAGACCCTTGGCCAGTCACTGCATACCTGCACTACATTTAATTACCCAGGGGCTCATCCATACAGTCTGCAGGCCCCTCGCTGCAATCTCATTTCCTATCTTTTCTTTTTTTGAGCCCCTAGAATCAATTATACCAAGTTCCAAGTGAGGTGGAAGCTGCTGGCCAGAACCCTACTCTGGTTTCTCTGATGAGCTTCCAGCTCACCGTTCCCTACAATACTGTTCCAACCTGTCCCACTTCTCTTCCAATTGAGGCCAAGGCCAGGCCTTCCCGCTGTCTCCCACCTGCTAAAGGTCCTGATTTGGCCTCCTCCCTGGGGCACTAATCCATACCACATCTCTCTAAAAAAAACACAAATAAAGTAATCTGCATTTATTTCTAGTCTGAACACAGCTTGCTCACCCCAACAGCCCTGCTGTTGGGCCCATCCAGGGTTCAACTCCACACTGCTAAAATTGCAGTCATCTTCACTGTCAGATCTGGCCTTAGGAGCACCTCCACCTTGGGCATGGTCGCCATTCGTCTCTTAGGCTTCACATACTCAACCTACGCACCAGCCTGGGCTGAACCCCGACCCACTCACCAGCTTAGGGTGGACTTCAGTGGAGATGAGCCTTAGGAGGCAGTTCAGAAGGCGTTGCTGGTGGAGGGCAGAGGGCGGAGAGCCAGGGCGGGCAGTCTGTCCTTGGCCTGCAGGTGACTGGCCTTCAGGGCCCAGCACGGCCAGCCAGTCATACTCTAGCTGCAGCTTGCTTGGTTTGCCCATCATGAGGTAGACTTCAGCCAGTGTGAGGCTCTCTGAGGTCTGCAAGTTCCAGCCCTCCTCACGCAGCTGCTGGGCCAGCCGGCTGGCAGGGACCTCCTTTGAGGGCCTGGTGGCAGGCTGTCCCTGAGGATGCAGAGGTTCTGAGGGGCTCCCCTTCTCTGGGGGCTCCTCTGTAGGTGTCTCTAATGAGTCTTTAGTACAAATATCCGGTGGGAGCCCAGGGCCAGGCTGAGGGTCTGTGCCAATGGGGGCAAGGTCAGCAGCCTCCCTGCTGCTGGGGGCAAGAGCTTCTGGGGAAGCTGCTCTGCTGGGAGGAGGGTACTCCCTCCTGGGCCGTATGTCCGTGCAGCGGCACTGCTCCGGGATGATGAGGTCCTGACAGGACTTCAGGTAGCGGGGGAAGGGGTCAAGGAGTGAAAGCTCGTCTTCCAGGTCTGGGAGCTGACTGTAGGCACAGGGAAGGGGCCCCAGCTCTCGGGTGGGGCCATCCCCGCCATCTGCAGAGGCTGCTACAGGGGTCTTCTCAAGATGTTGTCCATAGTCCTGGTGCCCATGGGGAGGCCTGTCAGGAGCATCCAGGCTACTCAGACTTGGGGTGGCCCCTTCCCCAGGGGCACTCTCGGGGGAACTCTCTCCAGAGCTTTGTGACACATCGGCAGTGGGAGGGGGCCGCCCCCCGCCCTTGCCCTCAACACTGCCCCTTGGGCACTTCACCTGGCCCCGGGCTGTGCCCTGCCCACTCTGGATGCCCAAGATCTGGGCTGGGGGCAGTGAGTGGGCATCCTTGGCACCCTGCTTGCACCGGCCACCCTCTTGCCAGTGCACTGTGCAGAAGGCCTTGGAGTGCACCACACGAGCCACGCCTGGCAGTGGTGTTAGCGTGCAGTTCTCGCCTGGGAAAAGGTGCAGTGCCACCTTCTCCTGCATTTGTACCACACTTGAGCCCTGCAGCTGTCGCTCCTCAAGTGTCTTCCGCTGGAACACTGTCAAGGAGCAAGTCCAACCAGCAGTATGATCATGTCAACTGCCAGGCACAGAGATATAGACTGGCGTGACACACTAGGGCCCTCCCCGGGGGCGTTGTCTACCCTTGCCATCACTGGGGTTTGGATCTGATCCTTGACCTAGGGACTTTTCTCAAGCCACTACCAAACAACACTGGCCCAGGTACATAAGTGTCTTTATAGGACTCACACCTGCTACACTAGTGCTGGGGAACAGGCAGGGCCAACAAATGGCCAAGGACAAAAGAAGGCTGGGCGATACCTGGGTCATGCTGCCTAACATGTGGCAGGGGCATGAGCTGAACCCTATGGGTCAGATGGCCAGCCACTCACAACATGGAGAGCTGCCTGTGACCAAACGCTACACTGTAGGAAGGTCGGCTCCACATAGAGGCAACAGGCTCCCAGGGGAAGCAGCAATGACAGGGACTAGGAAGGAAGACCTCATTTCCTAACAACAGGAGGAGCTGCTAAGTTTGGAGGTTTGGTTTAGTTGGAAAAGATACAATTCGCACTTCATGGAGCGCCCATTTCTGCTTCAGGAACTCAATGAGGCTGGAGACTTTTCTGTGTAGCTCCACAATCATCCTAGGAGATAACAAAAGGGAGGCTGTTAAGATGAAGAGGGAACCCTTGGAATCACACAGTATAGAGAAGTAGGGCTTTTGAAGGAGCACCAGCAGGAACCTTGGTGCTTTTCTTAAGAATGAGCCCTAACCATTAAGATCACAGTAGGTTCATTTGAAGCTACAAGAAATAATACAAACAGGTCCATGTCCCTTCACCAGTACAGCACTCAGCCCAGGGCATGGACATTGGTCCCATTGCTACCTGCTCCATCAGCACCTTTTGAGTGTAAGGGTGGAAGTGGCCAACCCTAATTAACCGTAAGAAAATAAAATGCACCCACAGAGAGGATGAAGCACTGAAATGTCCCACAATGTGGAAGAGCCTCAACAAGAGCATGCCTAGTGAGAGGAGCCAGACACAGCAAGCTTCTGTGTTGACTCCATTGGTATGAAATATCCAGAAGAGGAAACAGCACAGAGACAGAAGTAGACTGGCAGGTGCCAGAAGCTGGGGGAGAGGTGAGCACCAGAGAGTGACTACTAACAGGCACAGGACTCTGAGGGTGATGAAAATGTTCTGGACATAGATGGGGTAGAGGTTGCACAACATTGTGAATGCACTACACGCCACCCAATAATAAACTTCATCGTGGCTAACAGTTCATTTTATGTGTGGGACTGTCATTTCAATTCTGAAAAACATATAAATGGAAAATGGTCCACATCCACACTGGTGCCTTGGGCATGAATTAGACACAAATTTTCAGGGAGCCAGAGAGAAGGACAGTGAAGGCTTTATGGAAAAATGAAGATGACTCTGCAGTCACTGAACCTTTGCACCATGACATCGTTTCACAGCCCTCACTTGTTCCCCAAGACCCCAGCCCAGGTGTGGAACTTCAGCTAAGTGTCCAGGCTTCCAGAGTCAGAGCAGCTCTATGACAGGGTCACTGCTACACCCTGTCCTCATGTGCTGGGGTGAAAGCTGTTTCCCACCGTGGATTCCCTGAAAGAAACACCACAACTGCCCCTCAAGCTCTGCCCAGGCAGCAGGAACCCCTCCTCATGCTGAATGTCAAGTTACCTGAGGCGCGGGTTCTGGGCAAGGCTCTGAACTCGGGCCCAGGCATGGTTGTTCCGCGGCTGTAGCTCTACAGGGACTTTCAGGGGGAGGCGCACTGGCTTCTGGTCCTCTTCATCACTCAGGCCTGTGAAAGGGAAACCGTGAAAATGTAGTACAGACAACCTCAAGGCAGAAAGTAAAGCAAATCACCAGAAAACCAACAGACTCAAGAGAGCTTTGGGCAGAATGCTTTGTGACGGGACGAAAGGAAGGCCTAGAAATCCCAGCAAGGGACGAAACTCAACACAGTGCTTGTGCATTTATACAGGCACAGAAAGGCCATGTGAGGCTTGCTCCTGACAGTGCTGACCAACCTGTCGGAATGCTGCAATAGCCTCTGTGCTAAATGGGACTGACACAGTGACACAAATTCAAGAACTGTGTATTTATTCACAAGACTGGGATTAAGCAGGATGAAGCACAAAATGACTGTAGAAGAAACATTTCTAGCTCAGCCTGCCCATCAAAACATGGAACGAAACAACCACATAAGCTACAAGATGCACCCTTCCCCTCCTTTCCCTGTTGGCCACCTACCATCTGGATCACAGAGCTTCTTGAGGGCCCGGCACATGGGTGCTTTGATCCGCAGGTTCCGCCCCTTGTAACGTACTGTGGTAGCCCTGGGGAAAGAGTTTTAAAGCAATGCTCAGGCCTTTGCATGTAGGAAAGTAAGTAAGAGCCAGTGGGTTCAAATCACACCAAGCTGGAGGGCCTAGCCAACTGTCCACATGGGCTCCCCTACCGTGGCCACTCAGGACAGATGACAGAGGTAGGAGCTCCTTTGTAACCAGGGACACCTGTTTACAGGAAGTGTACTGTACTCTGCTGCCTCAGTGAAAGGGTTATAAACCATAGCTAGTGATTGCCCCATCCCATTAAAACCAACACTCTGGAGCCCCGCAGATGGCTGCCTGCCCTTCTCTCTGCCTATCCCATCTCAATGTGCTCCCTATCCTTGGGGGTCTCAGATTAAAAGTTATTGAGACATCTCTACATGACCTCCTAACCCACATAACCTCTATTCCACCTCTTCATGACCACCCTGACATATCAGCATTGTCCCCTGTCTCTCCAAAATCCACACTTGGCAGGGTGGATTCAAGCACCCAACCAGCCCCCAATCTATTTGCCAGGGTTTTGGTGGATTAGAATTACATAAATTGGAGAAATACTGTGTGACTACTGAAATGAGTAAGAAAGCAAGAATGATTCCTTCTGGCCAGGCACTATTGGCTCACACCCATAATCCTAGTTACTTGAGAGGCTGAGATCAGGAGGACCACAGTTCAAGGTCACCCAGGGTAAAAATGGACTAGAGGTGTGGTTCAAGTTCCATCTAAAAAACACAGCTGGAGCCAGGCATGGTGGCACATACCTATAATCCCAGTACTCAGGAGGCTGAGGCAGGAAGATACATTGAGTTCGAGGCCAACCTAGGCTACACAGGAGATCCTGCCTCAAAAAATTAATTAAATAAAAAAATTACCTCAAAACACTGGTTAAAGGTAAACTGTTTTAACTAGGGGGTACATCACTTGCCTAGCAAGTGTGAGACCTGAGTTCAAACCCTAGTACTATGAAAAAAAGAAGGTTGTTTTAAAAACAGTGTTCAAAGGAAGTCTGGGCCTCATCAGACTCTGCAGTCTCACTGTTTTGGGCTGCAAGGTTCACACTCACTTTGAAACCAGGAAGAACCCATGATGCACCCTGGGTAGAGGGTGAGAGAACACAAAACCCCTAAGAAGTGGATCCTAGTCAAAGAAAAGGCTTTGGTCGGCCACCTATGGGTGGTGAAGGGATGTGAGTTTGCATTTTACAAAATGCTCTAGGTGTGTGTACTTTGATCAACTGCTTTGTGATTTTTTTGGGCTATCTATCCATTTGTGCATCCATTTAATAACTCATTTGTCCATCTGTCCCTCCCCCTACCTAATCACCCACCTAAGAACCAACTGTCCCTCTGTGCTGGACACCAATGAGCAAAGCTGAGACTGGAAAAACATTACCAAACAGGGAAGAAGACTCAAGGAATAAAGCTTCTATCCCTTACATAGTTTCAAACTGGAGGGATAATTCAGAATGAGTCTCTAAGTAACAATTTATTCCATTATGTCAAAAAAATTTTTTTGAGATAGGGTCTCACTAAGTAACCCTGGAAGGTCTTGACCTCAATCCTCCTGCCTCTGCCTCCCATGTACTGGCATTACAGGCATGCACTACCACGCTTAGCTCTTGTATCAAAATTCTTGAACCACCTTATCTTAGGTGAAATATACAGATGAAAAGTGCTCCAGCAGTCTAATAGATATGCTTGCAAAGAGCAAGGAAGAACATTTTGAAAGAGCAATAATGAAGCATGGAGTCAACCCAAAACTCTGGCAAAAAGCTCTGGAAAGAAACTGGTTTTTTTTTTTTTTTTTTTGGCAGCACTGGGGCTTTAACTCAGGGCCTTCACCTTGAGCCACTCCACCAGCCTATTTTTATGAATAGTTTTTTGAAATAGGGTCTCTCGGAACTATTGGCCCAGGCTGGCTTCGAACCACAATCCTACTGATCAATGCCTCTGAGTAGCTAGAATTATAGGCGTGAGCCACCAGCACCCAGCTAGAAACAAGCTTTTCTGCTCATCACTTTTTGTTCCATGCCCCAAGACAAAAGTATAGAGGCAAGACTTTAATAGGGGATAGAGCTGTGTCATGTGACTCCTGTGTTTGCAATAATCACAATTTCCCTTAACTGGGGCTTGAACTCAGAAGTATACTTTGAACCACTCCACCAGCCCCTCCCCCCAACTTTTTTTTTTTTTTTTTTTTTTTGTGAAGGGCTTTTTTTGAGATAGGGTCTTGTGAACTATTTGTCCAGGCTGGCTTTGAATCACTCTTGAATTACAATCCCTTTCCTTTTCTGTCAAATGAGAAGTCTGTGACAGGCCTGAGGTTCGGGCACTGCACAGGATAAGGGCCATGTTCAAGCTCACAGGTAAGCTGGGTACTGAGGCTCACGCCTATAATCCCAGCTCAAGGGGAGGAGGAGATTGGGAATATCTCAGTTTGAGACCAAGCTGAGCAAAAAGAAAAAAAAAAAATAGTGAGACCCATCTCAATCAAAAAGCCAAGCGTGGTGACATATATAAGGGAGACAGTAGGTAGGAAGTCTGCAGCCCAGTCTGGCCTAGGCAAAAAATGCAAGGCCCTGTCTGAAAAACAGGTAAAGCAAAAAAGCTGCAGGTGTGGCACAAGTGGTACAGGCCAGGAGTTCGAGCCCCAGAACAGACAAAAAAAAAAAAAAGAAAGTTATGCCCTCCTCCCCCGCCACACATGTACACAGACATAGACACACAATAGGCTGGGATACCCCCAGAGCACAGGGACTGAGGAAAGACTGGGAAGAATCACAAACTGAGGTCTCCCTGAACATTTGACACACAGTGTTCTGTGTGAGCACCTCCATGGATCACTGACTACAGACAGAAGTGTGGCTCGTCTATGGGAGCCTGGACTCCTTTCCCATGAGATTTATTTTCTTCTCTGCAAAACTACTGTGTAAATCTAATCAGCACAAGCTACATTCTATGCCTCTGGGTCTGTGAACAATGTAATAGGATTTCATTTATTTTGAGCTGTTCTCAATTCATTTACTCCTTAATTTAATTTTACAATTCTATAACTGAGAGGAGATTCACAGTTAATTGAAAAAGGTCTGAAAAGAAAACATGGACAGAACATTAAGCACTCCAATTGCTTTTGATCATACAAGAAGCAGTTTTTCACATGCACCTTACTAATTTTTCCCTATTTCTTTTCCACCTTTGCAGTTTTTTGTTTGTTTGTTTTTGTTTATCCTTAAAAACCAAAGTCCAGGGTAAAGTGCCTGCCTAGCAAGTGCAAGGCCCTTGGGGGAAAAAACCTAAGGACGGTTGGGAAAAGAATGGACATATAAGTTGATGGGACAGAACATAAGGTCCAGAAGTTGAACTGCACAATACAGTCAGCTGTTCTCTGAGCAGCAGCATAAGCACCTCGTTTTTAGATATGCTGGAACAACATGACACCCATAGACAAAAAAATTAACTACCCATCAAAAAGAAAAGTTAATCCAAACTGGATCATGAACTTAAAGGTAAAACTGTAAAACTTCTAGAAAAACACACAGGGAACATCTATAAGCATAGGTTAGGTAGAGTTCTGATATCACACTGACAGCATAAACCACAGGAGATGATGACAAACAGAACTTCATGCAACTGAAGATATATGCTTTGGGAACAACACTGAACAATGAGAATGAAAGACAGGTCAGACAGAAAATATCTGCAGGTCATATATCTGACAGAATACTCTATTCAGAATGATACAAAGAACTCTCCGAACTCAATAATAAGAAAACAGGCACAAGATATGAATAGTTACTTAACCGAAGATACACAAATGGCAATTAAACACATGCTAAAAAAGATGTTCAGCACCACTGATCATCAGGGAAATGCAAAGCAGGGCCACAACAGGATGTCAGTCCATCCCCACTCGGATAGCTCAGAACACACGCTCGAAAGTATTGAGTGCTGCTGAGTGTTGGGGCACCTGCAATGGGCTCTGGAAGGCAGCTCAGCAGCATCTCATGAAGCTAGCTAGACACATGCTCTCTCCATCTCCTCCTCCTGGGCTACCCAGGTGTAATGAAAACTCGTGCACACAAAAACCTTCTGGAAAGTCTGAGTCAGTTCTTCATGAGCACTAAAAAACCCTACTCAGACCAATGCGGCTACAGGACGGACAGGCCTACAGGAACATCCAACATCCATACAAAGGAACCTACTAAGCAGGAAAGGGCAATGAGCTGTGGCTGTGTGATCTCAAATGCACAGGGCTTAGTGGGGGAGGCCAATTTCAGAACCTGTGTGAGGGAGAGCAGCTCCATGGGGTGCTGGACCTGCTCTGTCTTGACTCGTGATCCCATGACTCCACGCACTTGTAAACTCACAAAGCATGAGTGGAACAGGCTGCATACAGGGTGATTACAACCACATGACTCTTGGGGAAAGGCAGGACTACAAGACAATAATCCATCAAGGGTCACCAGGGGCTAGGAAGGGAGGAGTGAACAGGCAGTGCACAGGGGATTATTATGGCAGGGAAGATACTCTGCACAGCTTCCCGAGTGCTGGGATTACAGCTATGTCTAATCACCAGCCTGAGGCTCATAAATTAAAATAATGCACTGCAATAATCGAGATGGTAGTAACAGGGAAAACTAGGGGTAGATATTACAACTCTGTACTCTTTACACAATTTTTTTTGTATACCTAAAACTGCTCTAAAAAATAAAATCTGTGTGGTATAATCCCAGCTACTCAGGAGGCAGAGATAGGAGAACTGCAGTTCAAGGCTGGCCTAGGCAAAAAATTAAAGACGTTATCTCAAAAATAAGCCAGTTATGGTAGCCTACATCTGTAAACCCAGATATGTAGGAAGTGGAGGTAGAAGGATCATGGTCTAAGGTTGGCCCAGGAAAAGTGGGAGGCCCTATCTAAATAGGATAAATATGGCTCATGACAGAGCAGTTGCCTAGCAAGCATAAGTCTGAGTTCAAACCCCAGTACTGTTAAAAAAAAGGTCTGCTTAAATATATATATTTGATATATATATTTGATGTATATATTTGATACACATATATTTGATATATATACACATGTATATATATCAAACTGGTAGATCTATGTACCAAGATAAAATATATATAAAACATTAAAACAAAAAAAATGGCTGTCTCTACAGGGAGTCAGACTCCTGCTTTGCCTCCTCCCCAGCTTCTTGAGTTATTTAGAGACCACTGAAGTCCTGTGTATGCTGCAGAACCAGGTCTGGCCCAACACTCTAGCTTCAGCCCTGCATTCCACCTCTCCCTCCAGCCACCTTGGTCTTCTTCTTTGCACCTTCCATGGCAAAAAATACCATCACCTGGGAAAGCCTTCTCCAGATGCTCAGGGTAGACTCCCTTCCCAAGACCTGAAGTGTCCCCATCCCAGGCACCTCATTGTTGCGTTCAGGTCACAACTGCTGTGTGTCAACATGCACACACACTCAGGAATAAATGCACGTTGGATGGCCATGCGTCCTCTGCCATGCTATAATGTCCTCCCCATGCCTATGCCTGGCAAACACAGGCACTTAGAATCTTCTACACAGAGAACCACACTGCACAGTCTTTCTCCCACAGTTCCTTCCAAGGTTGCAGTCAGAAATCTCTCCACAAGCTGTTACAGCACCACGTTGTACTGTGCTGCCAGCACCTCTCTGAGGACAGTATGTACCTGGTGAGGTGCTAGAGCCAGAGTCAGATGAGCCTCACCCCCAACGCTCCCTAGTGTCACTCACACACTTCCTAGGGCCTCACCCTGAGCACATGACTTGGTAAGGAGTCCGTACTACCTCTCTCTGCCCTGTGCTGCAACCCTTGCTGACCTGAATGTGCTCCTCACTGGCACCCATGGCCCTCTTTAGCCATCTCATCTTTTTCAGATAGTTGCTATAGCAGGGCCAGGTGAGTCTCACTGACATTGGCTTCGTTAAATAAAAGGACAACAAAACACAGATGAGTGGGCAGGTGCCCAGCAATGCAGCCACAGGAGGCCCAGAGAAGCCAGGGAAAACACCAGGATTCACCACCATTTCCATTTCCCATTTGATTCTCACAGGATTGGGTATACGCATCTATAAGCAGCACTGAGGTGTGCTTGACTCATGATAAGTTTCAATGCTCTTGTCCACCTGCCTGCTGTTCTTGAGTGTAAGGTTGGTGTAACATCAAATCACACAAGCTCAGGGCCACTCACATGGCAAGGCTATGCTACCCATAGGCAAGGCTCAACCTTGCTCCTTGCCCCTCACTGAGCTGAACCTCCTATGAGTTACTGACAGGATAAATACTTCAGCATGGGTCTTAGATCCTACAGAACCACAATTCATGATCACTCAGGGAAGGCAATACTGAGATAACAACATCTCACACACGGCCCAAAGTAATCTGCTTTCTTGTCCCTTTGCGACTCTCTGTCTGTGTCTGTCTCTTATTTTTTTCAGTGCTGGGGATTGATGCAGGGCTTCCTACATGCTAGGGCAAGTGTTTGATGGCTGTGCTACACCTCCAAACTCCTGTTTTTCTTTCTTCCCTTGTTAAAGATCCAGGATCTTTTACCAAGGGGCTTACCTGACTCTAGAAAGAACTGCTCAGCATGGAGGTCATCATGTGTACCTGGTAGGAAGGAATCTGCTGCTTAGAGAAGGTCTCCTGGGGGCTGCGCACTAAGTGACTATGAAGTTTGTGCTACAGGAAAGGTACCCAGCAGTTTATCCCCGACACCAGGCCTGCCATTCCATGCATTCTATCTCATGCCTTGCTCTTGATAAAGCAAGGGGGGCAGGAACAACAGGCTTTCCTTAGTGAATTCGAGAATGTCAACTGAAATTCACCCCCAAATGGCATCATGGGAGTAGTGCACCCCTTGCCTGCTGATATGAAGGTAACTTTAGAAAGCATCTCAGTACTGCAGCTTCAACCTTCTGAAGAAGGTTCCTCAAATGTGTAAATGCTGCTCAGCCTGACAGAAGCAGCAGGTGTGAAGGGGGAAGCTCTGAGACAGAAGCGCAGAGCAGGCTGATCCTACCCCTCACAACTGCAACTGGCTACTCCCTGATGGCCTCTGACTGTACTGAGACCAGCTTCACTCCAGGAAGTCCTTTTATTTTATTTTGTACAGGGTCTGTCTCTGGGTCTGGCTTCAAATTCATGACCCTCTTGCTTCAGCTTCTCTTGTGCTAGGACTATAAGCATGTACCACCACGCCTGACTTTCCCTTTTTTAAATCTTTTTTTGGCTCTACTGGGGTTTGAACTCAGGGCTTCATGCTTTTGAGGCAAGTGCTCTACTGTTTGAGCCATGCCTCCAGCCCTTTGTTCTGGTTATTTTGGAGACAGGGCCTCACTTTTTGCCCAGGCTGGCCAGGTGGGTGATCCTCCTATTGTTACGCTTTCTGCTGTCAATGACAGGCGCGTGGCATCATCCCCAGCTTTTTTCAGTTGAGATGTGGGCCTTACAAACTTTTTTTTTTTTTTTTGGCCTGGGTTGGCTTGGAACCACAATCCTCCTGTTCTAGCCTCTATGTAGCTTGGGATGATAGGCACATATCACCACACCCAACTATTGGTTGAGATGGACATCTCACAAACTCCCTGCGAGGGCTAGCCTTGAATCACAATCCTCCCAGTCTCAGCCTCCCAAGTAGATAGAATTACAGGCATGAGCCACTGTTACACAGCCTTCCATTCATTATTAAGGCTGTCTGGCAGTTCTGGCCAGTCATGGCTTTTTCTACAGCAATGACACAACCTGGTTCCTGCTGGAAAAAAATTCAGGTAAATAAAGCCTCACAAATCTAATCCCAGGAAGGCACACAAGTGGTATGCCTGTAACAGCACAGAAGAGTCTGGGCAGACCAGACATCCAGGGTTCAGGGAATAGGGAAGGGCCAAATAGGATGAATGGGTCAATGTGAAGGCAGAGTACTAAGGGACACAGCAATCACCAATAAGGGTCACCTACCAAGCAGGAAACCCACACACAGAATTCCTTCACTGTGTAGCAGGCAGTGGCAGAGTTGGGCCTTGAAGTATGGTCCAGCAGCAACAGCATGACCCCCAGGACTGACCTAGGGCAGCCATGAGAGGGCAAGGAGGGAGGCATGCCAGCATGGGGAGACAGGTCTGTAGCACTTCCAATCAAGTGAGGTAGAGCAGTGACACACACTCAGAGCATGGGGGCAGGATGGGCAAGTTAGGGTTTCTAAGTGGTGGGATTTATAATCAAGATGTAGCTAGGCAAAAGGGCAGATCTGTACCCTTCATCCATGAAAGATGACAAAGGCCCAGTAAGAATTGAAATACCACAGGAAAGGGTACAGAGACAGAAGGGGCTGAAGATAGTGCTGGGGAAGCCTAGGAAGGGGCCGCAGGCCAATTGTGTAACTTCAGAGGAGCTCAGACTACTTACATCTCACTGGCCTGAGCAGTAACTCTGGAGACTGTCAAAACATAGAAGGACTCAAGGGCTAATTGCAAGGTCCAGGCCAGCACATGTACAACAGTGCACTAGGAAAACTCGAGAACCAGGCAGTTGGGCTATCTTCACACAACAACCCCAGTGCAGGCAGCATCACAGGAGAAGCGATATTCAGAAACAGTCGGGGCTGAGCAGGCCTCAATGAGCATTCAGAGGCCCTAGCAGTTCCTGACTGCAAGAACAGTTGAGTTCTGGAAGTCAGGAGCACAAGGGAAGAAAACAAGGGAGCCAAACTAAGCACTGACCCAGAAGGCAGGAAAAGCCAAACTACCAAGGAAACTGGAGGAAACTTTTCTGAGGGATGGGGGGGAGGGGAGGGGAGGGGATGGGCGGGGAGGGGAAGGGGATGAATGTGAAAGAATACTGTAAGGGAAAGAGGCAGTGAGACCTGGGCTGTGGTCAGATTAAACTACAGGCAAGGATGGGTGCAGACAGTCCCTATCATGGGCTGAACACCTTTTGAGAACAATAAAATGCACACCCGAGGATAGTAAGTTTTAAAACTCCCATGATCCTCATGGAAAAAAGGGAAGAAAAATGCAGGTATTTCACCTTCTATTTCAGCGGATGAATGTTTACTCCATAAGGAGTAAACAAGTCTTACTGTATGTCTCAATCACACTTACCCAACCTGAATGAGTTCATTCAACTTCGTTGCATTCTTGTCATCCATGCCTTTAAATGAAAAAAATAAATGAATGAGACTGTTAGAGATTCACATGATTGCCTTCTATACAAACTCTGTATCTTGCTACCGAATATCTGAGGTCTTCCAAAATAAAACCTCTTCAGTAGCTCCAGCCTCCTCCAGTCCCTGCAAAGCTGACTAGCACCTCCACCATGCTCTATAGCTTAGTTGCCTGTGCATCTTCTTTCCAGCCATTTCCTCAAGGTTCCACTATGCTCCCTGCATATCTGAGCCCTTCTCCCAGATCCCCAGCTACTGCTGAACTGCTGCTCAGTCCAGCACAGACTAACTGGTTCTGAATGACTTTGCTTCCTCTGGGCACCACACCAGGGCCTGGGTACCACACCAGGGCCTAGGCACCCTTTCCCTGCTGGTCATATGTGGACCCTCGGGTGTACAGTCTGGAATCTCCAAGATTCCAGGGCATGTTCAATGATGACAATGACACCTACAGTGTTTACTAGAACAGAAGTCCCACTTTATCCAATGTCATCATTATTCTCAAGATGTGGAAAAAAGTATGATACAAGCAGGAAAAAATTAAATTAAGTTAAATTAAAAAAAAAAAAAGCAACAGGGCTGGTGGAATGGCTCAGTTGGTAGAGGGCCTGCCTAGCAAGCATGAGGCCCTGTGTTCAAAACCCAGTACTGAAAAAAAAAAAAAAAGCAACAGCTAGTGGGAGAATCAAGGTGGGCACCTTAGTGCTCACTGTAAAATTTCTTTCACCATTCTGCAGGATTAGGGACACAAACACACAGCCAAGCTGAGAAAGACAAGGATGAAATTGTAAAAGCAGCCAGACAAACTGCTTCTCATACAGAGGAATAAGGACCCACATAGTTCTCATCAGATAGTGTAGGCCAGACATTGGACAGCAGTGTTAATGTGATGAAAGAAAACTTGGGGAGATAGTTCAGTAGTAGAGTGCTTGTCTAGCGCATGTAAGACCTCAGGTTTGATCCTTAGCACCACAAAAAAAGAAAGGAAGGGAGTGAGAGAAAGAGAGGGAAAAGGAGGGAGAAACAGAGGAAAGAAGGAAGGGAGGGAGAGAGAGAAGAAGGAAGGATGGACTTGTAAAATCAGAATTCTAAATCCAACAATTTTTATTATTCTTATGGGTTTTTTAGTTTTTTTGTTTTGTTTTTTGGTAGTATTGGGGTTTGAACTCAGGATGCCTCGAGCTTGCTAGGCAAAGACTCTACCAGTTGAGCCACACATTCAGCCCAAGTTAAAATATTTTTTAAGGTGAAGACAAAAATGAAGGTTTTTCAGATAAATAATAACTAAAAGAAATCAGAGTTGGTACAACTGCATGACAAAGAATGAAGGAAGTGTTTGGCCTAAAGAGAAAGGTCGCCAGATGGAAATGAGTCTTCAGGAAAGGGGGAAGAGCACTGGAAAGCGCAAAGGTACACAATCATGAATAAGGAGCCACATGTGCCACTGCCCTTAGACAGTCACTAACCAGCCAGGTTCGTGTGCCACAATGAGCACAGGAAGATGTGGAGTACATAAAAGTGTTTAAGACAAGGAGACCCAACCTGGCACAGACTCGGGGACAATGCAGCTGAGAGCTGTAGGAGGTGACAGGTCAGTGGAGAGGGAGGATGGGAGCAGGCATAAGCCTCCATAGTCCTGTGTCTAGTAAGCTGCACAGAGAGAGGCTTGGGGGTAAAGCCTGATGGAGGAGACAAAACCAGATCAAGCAGGGCCTTATGGGGCCACATGGGACTTTTGGCCTTTGTCCTGGGAGGAACTGAAAGAGGTGAGAAGGAAAGCTCATCTACTCCTTGGTGATCAGCAACTCCCCAGCCCCTGGTCTAATGGTCTCTCAGGAAAGGACATAACACAAATAACACTGTGCTCAGTAGGCCTATCCTAGACCCCATCTCCAGCCGCTGGGCTCCAGTCACTGAACCAGGCACCAAGCAGGGGACTTTGGCACAGAACTGTCTTCTCAACATAGTAAGGACTAGAGACAACCATAAGCACCATGCTGCAAGAGCAGCTGTGCCCACCTTCACCAAGGTGAAAAAGCAAAACCTCTCACTTGCTTTGCAAAAGGACCTAAGCACTGCCCTCTACGTTGAGTAGCCATAGTCCTTATCTAACTGGGTGACACCAGCCCACAGAAGCAGCCATGAGGGTGCTTCACACAATCAGCATGTTGATGTCCCACGACAGGGAAGACTCTACACACAGACCTGAAGCAGAATGAGCCATGTAGAAGGAAAGCTTCAGACTCATTTTCCAAATGGTCCAGAGAGCAGACCATGCACAGGCTCATGGGGAAATGCTAACAGGTCTCAAGAGTGTACTTCTCCAAAAAGAGACATGAGGGAACACAACAAAGCGATGAAACCAAGGGACCTAGCATGTAGCAAGCTTCATGAGTGGTGATGGAGACATTCAGAGGGGAGACACTCCCACATGGTGAAGGACTCTAACAGTTCAATGTGAAGCCAAGAGCTCCGTGTGAGTTCCAGATATGTGTGAAGAGTGCACGTCAATGTGCATTTGAGCATGATGTGTAGCTGGAGCGATAGGACCAGCCTACCTAGCAGAACTAGGGGCAGTAGCACAAGTTGAGCTACAGAGGCAGGGAAAAGCCCACTGTGATCCAGAAGTTTGTCCTGTAGAGGACTGGGATGTGGCTAGGAAGACAGGTCGAGGTCTGAGTGCACAGACTATGACCTAGAAGGCCACATTTTGGAGAAGAAGGAGGGAGAGGGCAACACAAAGCTGCCCAAGGTCATAAAGCAGAAACAGTCAAGAGGATGCATGCAAAGACTCATGCTGAATATGAGATGGCCTGGGGAGGGCTATAGCATCCTGTCCAATAAGGGGTGGTACCTTGAAAACACAATCCATTCAGGGTGGGGAAAGAGCAAAAGGAGCAGAGACTGGGGGGCCATGTGGACCCAGGAGCCCTGCTCAGCCACAGGGAGGCATGCAACCATGCAAAGAGGATGCCACGGGGATGGGGGAAGGTATGTGACGTGGGACAACTCATGAAGGATGGAAGCAGGGAGCCAGTCAGGATATACATGCACAGCCTGGTCTACACAGGAAGGAAGGGGCTAGGAATGTGGACAGGCTCAAGTGCTGGAAAGAGCAACCAAAGGAGCAGGTGAGGGTAGTCTTTAGTCATCACCTCCAGCAGCTGCTTCTGTACTGGGGCTACTGGATAAAATGAGGACCTAACCCACCCAGGGCTGAGACTCCTGTCATGTGCTGGTTCACAGCGTGAACAGAATAATGTAATTACCTGGTGTGCAGAAAATGATCTGAAGCTGTGGAACTAGGAGAGGTCAAAGAGAGGCAAACAGAGATTCAGAAGCAAGCAAGGAGGGATATCAGTGCAGGCCGAAGTATATAGGAAGAGGACTCCAAGGCATGGAAATTATGGGCATCCTTGACAAGAGCTGGAGGGAACTCTGAGCAGCATAGGTTGGAAGAAGGAGGATATACACACATACAGTGTGTCATAACTTCTACAAAAGCAACCCAGGATAGGCAGCAGTACAGAAGGACCAGGCTGCAGACAGTGGGATCATGTGGGCAAAAAGGGTTTCCCTTTTCTTTCTAGGAAACGAGAGCTGTAAAGCAGAGGCCAAAGCTATTGGGAGTCTGGGAAAGGAGGGACTGGTGACCCAATAACAGATGAATGGAAGACTATAAAGAGTGGAGCCAGAGAAGCTGGGACCCAGGCCCTCACCTGGCGCAGGCAGAATAGCAGCAAGCAGCAGGGGGCTGAAAGAAGAGAGGGGAGGAGTGTGGGAACAGGGGCTGCTGATTGCACAAGAGGGCAGCACCTTCCAAACACAAAGGCCAGGCTTGTTCACAGCAGCCAGGGGCCAATGACTAGACACAAAAAGACAGCAAATGGTTGGGACAATGCCTGAATGACCACCAAGAACACCATCCATAGCAGCCAGGAAATACCTATCCTTTCCAGCCTTGCTGCACACCCTGAGCATGTTAGGTGGACCCTACAATGCCCACTGGACCTGTGAGGCCTGCTTGTTCTCATTAAGGGGCACAGCAATGCTGAGATGAATGGGGCACAGATGCCCTGTGAAAGCTAGAGCATCCCTACCTGGCACCCATGCCAGAAATGTTCTGAAGGGAAATGGTCACCAGGGGATGATCAGAGCAAAGAGCTAGTGAGGAATCCTTCCTTAGTAAAGAACAGTGGACTCAAAATACCAACATCATCAAAGATGGAAAAACATAGTGGCTCCTGGTCCAAGTGACCCATGTTGCCATGCAAGACAAGGGCCCTTGGCAGGAGCCCTGACTAACACCTGGGAGCATTCTGGGGAATCTGAATATGGGCAGGCTGTGCCAGTCTGATGGGTATGAAATATCTCAGTGCAACGATGGGACTGGTTGTATAAGTGGGCCTATGCTCTGAGGTGACGCAGTCTGGGTGTGGCATAAGGCCTTATAATCAAATGACAGTGACAAAGTGTATTCCTGTGTGTCAGAACAAGTGCGTGTGTGTATGCGTGAAGAGAGCATAAGCAAATGTGGTCAACATTAATAAACGGTGACCTAAGTAAGAGCATGATCATCACATTCTTTTTCAATCTTTTTGCTATTAAAAATTTATCCAGATAAAAGCTGGAGGAAAAACAGGTGTTCCTGGGCCTTAAAGAAGATCATCGGTGACAAAGACAATAGCCCACCAAGAAGAGCCGCAGGGCGACCTGAGGATGGGCTAGTGGTACTCACAGCCCCCAATCTTCTTACGCAGCTCGCCATAGCAGATGAGGCCATACAGCTCCTGGGATGACTTCTTCAGTCCTCGAGAAAACACTGGAGAACAAGAGGAAAGAGCTTAGGAAGGAGGACAAAGACATCCATAGGGTACAGTCTGTGCATGCAGGAATAGTACTGGAGAAATATTGCCAGAAGACTCAGGTTGAGCTCCTGTGTTAATCATGGAACCGTGGTCAAGCCGGTGCCTAACCTCAGGAGAAGCTAGCAAAGAACCTACAGGAACACAGTGCTGCTTGTGCCATTTTCAAAATAAACATCTAAACAAAAATGAGCAGTGGGGTTTAAAACATTACTTCCGACAGGCAAAACAAATGTCTCCTCAGAAAATGGCTTTATTAGCACAGCCCGTACTCACAGAGGAGGGTGAAGAAGAGGTGGATGTGAGCACCATCATACCTTTCGCCCAGCTTTATCAGCACTGAACTCCCCAACCACAGATAAAGTCAGTAGCCTCAACTCTGGGAACTCATTTTCCCACCTGCCTGTGCCCTCCCCAGATGACAATGGCTCTATGTGCTACTGAGCCCTACCCAACGTCCACCCATCAATAACAGGCACAAGCTTTATTTAGGAAGCAAGGAGGCAGGGAAACATGTGGCTTGACACGGTACCCACTAAGTTCTGGCCTTCAGTGTGAACCAAATATTGTAGTGACTACAGAAAGCCAGAGGCTGAGTTGGGCGGAGCCTACTACTTTTGCTACCTCTCTTCCCTCAGGGGCTGCTACCTGGAGCTGTCCTGGACGCTAACAGCACACAGGGTACAGCAGAACAGAGACAGGAGGCCCTGTATCCCTGCCACCCTGGATAACCATCCCCAGGCACTGGGCAGGAGAGTGAACCACCGTGATTTTCAATATTTTTAAGTATACAAAGTTGAACACCATACTGACATGGGAGCCAAGCAACAACAGTGTCTAGGACCCTCAGGTTATCTCAAAGAACAAGGACAAATGTGACCTGTCCCCTCCATGCTCTCTCAACTGCCTTCTCTGGTGCTCTCCTCAGAGATCTCTTTTCAATATACTAGTAAGTGGTGAATGATATTTTGAAGACATGATCTAAAAGAAGGATTCTGGACCATAACTTAGCTCAAAGGAAATGACTCCACTAACATCATGGGCCAACTGTTCCTCAAGGTTTTCCTGAGAGAAAGACTCAAGATCTTATGGGATCCTTAAGAAGACTAGGGCTCAGGAAAACCTTAAGACCTCAATGGGTAACAAAACTCCACATTTTATGGGTGAATATTATTCATCCAAAAAATAGAACTGAAGTTCTGACATACTATGACATGGATGAACCTTAAAAACATGCTCAGTGAAAGAAGCCAGGCAATAAACGATCACACAGTCTGTAAGGCCTTTTGCATGAAATGTTCAGAACAGGCAAAACCTACCATCAGAAAGCAAAGAGGTGGTGGCAGGGGAATGGGAAGGAGAGCTAATGGGCATACGTTCTCCTTTAGGGTGTTGAGAATATTTTGAAAATAGATAGAAATAGTGGGTACAGAACATCATGGCTATACCAAATGCCACTGAACTGCACACTTTAAAAGGTGAGTTTTAAGGTATGTGGATTCTATCTCGATAAAAGAAATTTTTTTAAAGTTTACCACTTGAAAGTCAAAAACAAAAAAGTCCACAACTCAGAGAGAAAAAACTAGAATCAAGAGTAACAAAGTTAGAAAAGGAAAAAAAAAAAAAAAAAAAAAAGAGAGCAAGAAAGTGAGAAAAGTGGCCAACAGGAGCATGAGATGAAGGGCTTCAGAGTGGGAACTCAGGGCAGGGCAGAACAGGTTCCAAGAAGCACCACTCATGCCGCCTGTGCTTCCCTGTATTTCCTCATAAGGACTTTCAAGGCTCCTGAGGGTTTCCTTCCAGACTCATAGATGGGGAAAAGAGCTTGTGTTTCAGAACTTTAGATCTGTGAAACAAAACCTATACTCAGGAGACACTGGTAGAGAGGTAGACATGAGAAGACACTACCCTTCACAGAGGCACTGAGGCTCTGGGGCTGTCCTGGACACCAGCAGCACAAAGCACAGCAGAGTGCAGACAGGAGGCCCTAGATGGATGGGCGTCAGGCACTGGGCAGGAAAGGGAACCCTTGTATGCTAGCCACTGTGATCTTGATACGACAGCCATCAGAGACTCTTTATCTGTATTGAAACAATGTGGGATTATAAAACTACTGAAATCCCAGATGACACACATGGGAGCCTCAGATCAGCTATGGAGTGAGTTACATTCCGAGAGATGACCTGTCCTTAGCAAGTCTGGACCTGGTCCTGGTCAGCACAACTTCTTTGGTTGTTCTCTGGTTAAGGAATCAGAAAACCCCCTGATAAGCTACAGATGGAGTGGCTTTGTTTTTAATAAATTCAAAAGACCACCAAAAGTACATATAAAATAAAAAGAACACTGCTACTTTGTGTGATGTGACATAGCAACATATAAGGACCCAATGGGCACTTCAGAATGCATTGGAGACCTCTGACCTGAGGCTCTCAGCTAGGCCTCCCCCATGGGTGGAAACCAGTTGTAGGGGATGGACAGTATCAAAGTGCCTGGTGACACTTTTGGTGCTGGCATACAGAAGCAGGTGGTCTCTGGCTACACCTGGCCAAAAAGCAAGCCTATCATAACCTTAGGAGAGCAATGAGTATGACAGAAAGAAGGCCCTTCATATGGGGCCAGTCAGCAAGAGGACAGAAGGAGAAGGGATACTGGGCCCACCACAGGGAAGGAGAAAGGACAGTCTGGTCCAATGTCACAGCACTGAGTGCAAGAGCCTCGACCCACCCCTGGAGGGATGGAAGGGCTGAGAGGAATGGCGCCTCCAGGCATCAACAGGACTTAGGAATCAGGAAGAAGATCAGCAGAGAAAGGAAACAGAAACGGAAAAGAAGCATCTGCTTACACACCCTCTGACATTGACACAGGAGAAGTGATTTGGCAGGTCCAGGAATGAGCATTTGCACCTCAGAGCCTTGGATGGGTTTAGTAAAGACCCAGGTCCACTCACTTATCCCACATGAATCCAGCCTCTCCACACTTCCTCCACCACAGCTTCCCAACCCCAATTCACTGGTCACTTTTCATTTGAGAGCTTTTTCAGACTAGCTAGTGTGAACGTACTTTCAAAATGTTACTAAAGAATATGATCTCCAACAAGAAAAGGAAAACGGAAAGATAGCAGCATAGACAGATGCCTTCTGGAAGGAACAAGTGCTCACTGCAACCTGACAAGAACCAAGGTAGCCTTGGATGTCAGGGACTGGACCAGTGCTGAGATACGCAAATAAATCAGTGATCTGATATATAGAAGTGGTGGTGACAACTGGAAAAAGAACAAGAATGTTGACTTGAAGTCAGTAAAAAAATCTTATGTTTATAATCATATGGATGCCAAAAGCAAAAATGTAATTGGCACTAGCAAAAGACCACCAACTCAACCAAGTCAAGGGATGCCCCCATGTGTGGAGATTGACACCTCAATCTCATGGGTCTCTAGAGATGGACAGGCCAGAGGAGGAGGGAGTATAACTCCACAGCTCTGCTCTGCACAGGGAGCATAAGGAGAGGCTATTCTCCCAACACATGGAGACAGAAGATAACAAAACTTTACAAAGACCCCAAAGTAGCAATTAGAATCTGGATCCAGTGCCACTGGGGAAGCTGTAGGCCAATCAGGAGTGCTCTGAGTCAGAAGCCAGAACTGCAGCCGGAGATGACTTAAGTCATGTGACTAAAAGTCATGTGACTAAAAATGGACTCTACACAAATCTTGACTAAAACACAGGTGGTCAGAGCATTGGGAAAGCATCCACCCTCACAGACCAGGCCAGGTCCTATATAGCTCTTGCCCTCCACATGCCCCCACTTGGAAACAAAGAGCCAGCAAAAAGAGAAAGGGGGCAATTCAGGCCTTCTCATGTGCCCAAAGCCCAACTCAGTTCAGTCAAACTTAGTGCCCCACCCCTCAAAGAGACCGAGAACCAAAACTCAAGTCAGAAAAGTGACAGTGAGATCACTGGAGCATAGATGTAGACAATTTTGTCACTATTAAGTATGACCAATAGGCACTGGATGTGCCACCAACAAAAGCACCTGGAGGCCAGTCCCAGGCTGGGTGAGAAAAATGCTAGTAAGTGTCCTCTGGTTGTTTGTCAGAAAGCATTCTCCTGAGAAGAAGCCAACCCTGCCTGGAGGCCCCCCAGAGACTGAGTCCATGGCATATTCACCGTTGTCGAAGTCTATGTACTTGGTGATCTTGTGCCAGGTGCGGTAGTAGAAGTGCCGAACCTGCTCTTTGTTCTTCACCATGCTTGCTGGCTTCCCCTTCTTCTTGTACTTCAGAGCAATGTTGTTCTGAATAGCTTCGAAGTCTTTCCCATGCTGGAAAACAAAGTCCATGATAAAAGCAAAACAGATAAACTAAATCAGCTTTCTAAGTGATATAGGCACCACTGAGAAAGGAGACGGGACCAGCCGTGGACAAGCAGGCTGTCCTTCAGAAGACACAGCTCTTCTTTGTGTCTGAATTTCAAATTTGCTTCCCTAGAATCTCAGGTTTTAATTAGAATAAAGCAGCACAGGAGCTTAGGGAGAGAATTACTACAGCCTGTGGACACCAAAGAGGCAGGGGCCTTGCCATGTTTGTATGTTCCCACCAAGCTTCAGGTGTAGCAATGTGATGGTATTGGGGGGGCAAGGTCTGCAAGAGGTGATTAGGCCATAAGGGCTCCTCCCTTGAAATGGCAGTAAGGCCCTTATTTAAAAAAAAAAAAAAAGAAAGAAAAGAAGCTTCACAGAGCATTTGATTAGCTTGTCCTTCACAGAAAGCATCATCACAGGCCAGGGGTGTAGCTCAGAGGTAGAGCACTTAACCAGCATGCACAAAGCCCTGGGTTCAATGAGAAAGGGAGGAAGAAAAGAAGGAAGGAAGATGGTAGCACATACCTATAATCCTAGCTACACTGGAGCCATAGGTAGAAGGATCAAGGGCTGAGGGCAGTCCCATGCAGAAGCACAATACCCTATCTGAAAGACCCTATCCAAAAAAATAACTAAAGCAAAAAAGACTGGGGCATTCCTAAAGTGGTAGAGCCATTTGCCTAGCAAGCACTAGACCCAGAGTTCACAACCCAGTACCATGAAAAAGAGACAAAAGGAGGGAGGAAGGGAGGGAGAGAGAGCAAGGAAGCTACCTTGAAAGCAAAGAACAGCCCTTACCACACACTGAACTTTCAGTGCCTTAATCCTGGACTTTCTGTGAGAAAATAAGTTTCTATTTTTCATGAGCTACCCAATGTACGTAGTAACAACAGACTAAGACAGCCCCAGAGCAGAAAGTAAGACTTATCATCTGGACAAACGGCTTAATCTCTGGAGACCCTTAGCAATTATGAGTGAGACATCTCCACACAAGAACATGCCTGGCAGATGGGAGGATATCTGGTGGAGAACTTGGGTTGCCACCATGCGGCATGTTAAAATCACTTTCAGAAACACCTCATTTCTTTGATCACATAAAGTGTGTTCCATATTCAAACAGGGATGGCAAATATGAATATTTAGGAAGAGAACCTCACAGAATACACTCCAATCATATCTGTGGCCAACCCTTCCTGGAGCACCTCCATCCAAAAATCTCAGGACTGCCATAAAGAGAACCAACTGTTAGACAGTGTCATCAAAAATTATCTACTAAGAAAGCTGAAAGGGCTAAAGGCATGACTCAAGATGTAAAGCACCTTCCTAGAAAGCACAAGACCCCAAGTTCAACACCTAAAACCATGTAAGAAAGAAAAAAAGAAAGAGAGGAGGGAGGGACAGAGGGATGGATGAATGCACACTCTGGGAAGGGGCCCTGCAGCACTATAGCACACAGATCTTGGTTTCTAAGTAACATTTCTAAAGAAAAGCAGGGCTCTCTGGAGAAATGGCTGATTCAAGGGCTTAGGAGGTACCAAAGATAAAAAGCTACTCAGCAGTGGCAGAAGCCAACTTACACTGGAACCACGTGGGCAACAAAATCAACAATGGCACAAATGAATTATAACCCACAGAATAAACAAAACACGTATAAACAAGTAACTGATAAAGACAGCAGTGAGAGAGAAGGAAGGCTGTGCCTTGCACTGGACTTCTAATCAGCAAGTGGAGAAAGAGCAATGGAGGGTAGATCATATCAAGAATTTCCCCCCACTATTGTAATCGATAACCATAGCCGGGTGCCAGTGGCTCACACCTGTATCCTCACTACTTGGGAGGCTGATATCGGTAGGATCATGGTTTGAGGCCAGTCTGGGCAAATAGTTCTCAAGACCCCATGTCCAAAATAACCAGAGCAAAATGGACTGGAGATGTGGCTCCAGTGATAGAGCACTTGCTTTGCAAGTGTGAAGTCCTAAATTCAAACTCCAGTCCCACCAGAAAAAACAAAAATCCACAAAACACCAACCATACCTTCCATTCCCTTTCTGCATCTGGGTGGCCAGACCCCCTCACAAAGTGCAGTCTCCCCAGGAAGAAAAGGCCATGCTGCATTAGTAGTAATGTTTCAGGCAAAACTCAGCAACAGTTGTAGACTCTGTCAACATTGCAGGAATCACAAGTCTTCTATGTCTAACAAACAGCTTCAAAAAGGCACAATTTGGGGATATAATCCCCTACACAAAGACAGCCTCTATGTTTTATTCTAAAACTCTTGAAGAGAAGAAAAAGAACACTTTCATATCTGTTTGAATGATTTCACATCTACCCAAACAAGACTTGTCTTTCCATGGACAAGAGTCACATCAGTGGTATCCACCTTGGATGGCCAGAACTTAGCCATCAGCTCAGGGGAAAGCAATGTGGGAATATAGCGAAATCAAATGTGTTGCCACTTTTGCAGTTTCTCCTTTCCTAATCTCTTCATAAACACTTCATGGTTTAAATTCCAGAGCCTCATCTCCTTTGTTGAGCTTCTGTTTCCTAGACTCAGCAAGACTTTTCCATCACCCAGTGAATTACTATTAAAAGGACAAGGTTCATTGACCAAGTAACCTATCCCTAACTCTATATGCCAAAGAAGTCATCTGAAATAAATGTGCACAAGATGGTCACTGTAGTGTTTTTTTGTTTTTTCTTTTTCTTTTTTTTTTTTTTTGCAGTACTGGGGTTTGAACTCAGGGCCTACACCTTGAGCCACTCCACCAGCCCTTTTATTGTGATGGATGTTTTAGAGATAGTCTCACAAACTATCTGCCTGGGCTGGCTTTGAACCACAATCCTCCTGATCTCTGCCTCCTGAGTCACTAGGATTATAGGAGTGAGCCACTGGAGCACAGCCACTGCAGTGTTATTTTTAACAACAGAATCTGCAAGGAGGGCTGCTGGAATGGCTTAAGTGGTAGAGCACCTGCCTAGCATGCAAAAGGTCCCATCGCTTTTCAATCTTTTGGCTAAGATCATGTGTAGCATGCACAAGGTCCTGAGTTCAAATCTCAGTACCATAAAAAAAAAAACCTGGAAGAAACTGCAATAATTCAAAATACAAGAATGGCTAAGTAGTATAGGGACTAGCCAGACTCAAGGGACACTTGGTATCTGCTGTGACTCTCAACTCTACCACTAGATCAGCATCAGCCACAGACAACACATATAGGAATGGGCCTGACTGCTCCAATAAAACTCTTTACCAATCAGGCAGTGTGCAAACAGGCCAGTTTGCCTATACCTGAAGTAGAATCTTTACAAACATTTTTAAAAAGCTGAGCAAAGGAACTATAAAACACCATGAAAAATGCATTTCATGTTATTTAGAAAGTATGTTCATGAAAACTGTAAAGGTATAAAAAACAAACACCCAAGTGAAAGTGGCAGACAGGAGCATGGGCCCCTCACTGGGCAGCAGATGTGGGCAGTGGCTTCCTATTTGTATGACTTTCCATCTGGTTCCAGGTCAGTTGCAACATCTTCTGGGGCTTAGTTGCTATACTGACTGATGGGGCAGGTATCAGCCTCCCCTCTTCACTCAGGGCCCCCCCCCCACATCAGCATGCTCAGCAGCTAAAGAGTAGCCCAGAGGAAGAAGTGGTGCTCCTGGCAAAAAATGTATCTGCATGACAATGGGTGAGAATTTTGGAAATGCATCCTAACAGCCCCTCCATCTTCACAAGGAGGGAACAGGAGGACAAGATCTGGGTTGAGGGGACCCATACCCACTTTAGCCACTTCTGGGGGTTCCTAAAGGAACTGCTCATGCAGTGGCCATGCAGCAAAGGGACATGGGAACACAAACGAGGTAGGCAGTGCAGAATTCAGGGAAGATGACCGCATGAGCCCTCTTCTCATGTGCACAACTCACCTCGTACAGGCCCTCGAAGAAGGTGTTCTTGTCCTCTGTGCTCCACGACTCCCACTGCCGCCGGACCTTTTTACCTTCTTCCTTCTCAGTCCCTGAAGACCCTAAGTTCCGGGAGGAAGAGCGCGAGCCCCCAGCAGGGGTGGCAGGGGCAACCCCAGATGCGTTTCCAGATGATGATGATGCAGCACCGTCAGTTCCTTGGAGAGAAAGGACTATAAGTGACCTATTCCAGAAAGCTAAGGGGCAGGGCAAGGCAGAAGGACAGAGAGAGCAGGAGTCCATTGCCCTACCATCTCACTGCAGCTATTCTGCCAGTGATGCCAGCAGGACAGTACCTGGGAGCAACTAAGTCTGGAACAACAGAAGCCTGACCTGACCAGATGACTCTCAGATGTTTCTGTAGTGAGGAAAAAGAGAGTCCATATGAACTCTCTGAGCAGCAGAGCAATGCTGTTTGTCCCTACGGAATGTACAGAGACCTGTCCCCTGGACAAAGCTGTGTATCACATTTCACAATCTCTTGTTCTAATGCACTTTTGGGTAAAATAGTCTTCCCATTCTCTTGAATAAACAAGTCGAACTTCAAGTGCAAGGGGACATTTATGTGTGTAAAACATCACCTTCATTTAGACACAATTGGTACTTCCAAATATGAATCCCTTAATGCCTGAGGACTTGCAACTTAAGACATCTTTATCCTTGGTCTATTTCCATATTGGAGTGCTTGCAACCTTGCAAATTCTTCTGTAGCATCAGTCCCTAATCTCCAGCAGAGTCCTTTGAAGACATGCAGAAAGGGCAGCACAACAAAATACAACAAGGAGACTTCGAAGTGAAAATGAAATCACAGAGGAAGAGCTTTTATGACCTAACCCAGTCGTCCTGCCCACCTGATCTCATGGCATACCCCTGTAATAACCAGTGTTCTCTTTTTATAAACTACAGGACCATAAAATGCTGAGAAACCTTCCAACTCTGAAACAACCATTCAACAAGGGTGAAAATAAGATCAAAGTAAAAATGCCTTAAGAAGCAAAAGCCAGCTGGGTATGGTGACTCATAACTGTAATCCTAGCTACTCAGGATGTGGAAATCAGGAGGATCGTGGTTGGCAAAGAGTTAGAAAGATCCCACCTCAACCAATAAAAGCTGAGCATAGTGGTGCACACCTGCCATCCCAACTATGGGAGAAGCATAAATAGGAGGATCATGGTACAGGCCAGCCTGGGCATAAAGGCAAAGCAAGACCCTATTAGAAAAATACCTAAAAAATTAAGAAAGGTCTGGGGAATGTGGCTCAAGTGGTAGAAAGTCTGCCAGCAAGTGTAAGGCCAAGTTCAAACTCTGTTTAAAAAAAGGAAAAGCCAAATATAGAAAAATGGTTGAACGCTTTCCTAATGAGATATGGTGGGCTTTTCTATCCAAGATCCACTTCCCTGGTGAGGCAGGCTCTGCCTGGGTAGCCCAGTGCAGGCTGAGGCCTTAGGGACTCGTTTCTCTCACTCTTCCCTCAGGGTCTCCCTCCACAAAGGGATGGAAAATAAACTTCACAGAAGATGACAAAAGATAAAAAGTGAAAGAACTTAAAACCCATTACTCCACATACATTTATAAAGACTCCAACCCCCTCGACGCAGCTTGTCCAGCCTGTCAAAGGGTGTGCTGTGGTGTCACTAAAGATAGTCCCTCAGTTATGCCTCACTTAGGACTTTTCAGCTTTTTAATGGTGGGATGTGAAATCACACCTCCAATTTTGAGTTTAGTTCTTTTCCATGCTGGCAATATGCAATACAATACTCTCTCTAGATGCTGGGCAGTAGCATCAAGTCACTGTTTCCAGTAAGTCACAAGATCAGAAGGGAAACATAACTCTTCACAGTGGGCTGTGTGTTGCTAAACCAGAATGTCGACAGGTAATGATATTTTCAACTTATGGTGAATTTATTGGGAGGTAACCCCATCATAAATTAAGGAGTAGCCATACTTCGAAATAGAGTATTTTAAAATTCCCATCACTCAACTATCAGAAAGCAGAACCTGGGGCTGAGCATAGTGGCTCACACCTGTAACCCAGCTATGTGAAAGGTAGAGATAAGATCTTGGTTCAAGGCCAGCCTGAGCAAAAGGTTAACAAGATCCTGTCTCAAAATCAAACTGGACATGGTGGCACATGTCTATAATCCCAGCTATGTGGGAGGCAGAGGTAGGAAGATTGTGGTTCAAGGTAGGTCCAGGAGATTCTATCTGAAAAATAACTTAAAAGAAGTAAAAAGGGCTGTGGATGTGGCTCAAGTGGCAGAATGCCTACCTAGTCAAGTACAGGCCCTGAGTTCAAATCTGAACATTACTAAAAACAAAAACAAAAATCCCTGCTCTAAATACCAGACCATCTGGTTATTAGCACAGACCCCAAATTCCTCATGAGCAGCTGTTTGAGGAAAGGCTGCCTATTCACTTCTGTACCACCCAAGATAAAGGGTTTCAAATTCACTTTTGGTTTCCCAAGAAACTCCTATGAACTCTCCTCTCCCCAGCACCAGCATGCCAACCAGCTGCACCATGACTGCTCAGGCTAACTTCTGCCAGCCCACGGCCAGCACTGGAATTCTGGAAAGACACACACATCCTTTTCAGCCTGTAATCGACATGCCTTGCTAATTTCTTGAGATTTGACTACGTCATAGCATTGGTGATAGACCACAAGAGTGAACCACAAAGGGACACAGAATGGAGGCATAAGTGAGCTGAAAGGGACCTCAGAGGCAGACAGTAGCATAAAACATACTGATGGGCATGAAGGAAAGCTGCACCAATGCAAAAGTGGCTCTAACAATGCTCTACCTCAGAGCAACAGCCTACTTTTCAACAGGCTCGCAGTCAGCTGAAATATGTTTAGCGCTTCCTTTTGATGTTTTAGAAGTGACATCCACTGTAGAGGAAATTAAAGCAACTTGGACATCCAAATAAGAACACATAACCATCCAACGCAACCTTTCTAACATCTAGTCCCATCATCCTAGACCTCAAAGGCTTCGTGAAAGTAGCACAGAATCACAAACTTCGGAAAAGAAAATGTGGCCTCTAGACCACCCCCAGAACTTTAGAAGAGGACATGGCTTCCTTGCTTAGCTCAAGCAGAATAAAAATCGGAGACAGGACCAGAGATGCTCTACACTCTGGCAGACTGTACTGGCAACCACTTGGGAGAGGCTACTCTCCGTCTAGAAAATCCAGAGGAAATGAGACAATGGTAGTCAAAGGGAAGAACAAGAAGGCGCAAACAAGGAGAAGGTAATAAGGAGAAATACAGGAGATGATGACAGTTCAAGCAGGCTGGGTGGGCAGGGGACTTTCACCAGAATGGGAATGTGTGAGAAATTCACCCAAAGCAGAGGCCAAAGACAAAGCTCCACGGCATTTCTGAGACCACAAAGAAATGCAGAAGTAGTGTGCACGATACACACTCCACACTCCAGAGACCTGAGCGAAGTGGCCACCCAATAAAAAAGCCCTCTGAATTTAAGGACAGTGTCTTGCTCTACCATGCCCAAGCTTAATACCAGGTCCCACACAGCAGACGCTCAATGACAGCTCAGGGACCAGTGGAGACAGATTGATAGGTCCATGTGCCCTAGTCTCAATGGACTCCCTAGACTCCTCCTGTCCTTCATTGACCCCACAATAGAACACCCCAAACTCCAAGGACCCAATGCCTCCACCCTGATCGCATCCCTCCTTCTCAGCCTACGTCACAGTACTTCTCTCAGCCAGCTCTGTCCCACAAATTCCTCTGTTCTCCCAAACCATCATCCCTATTGAGCCACTCTCCAGAGTTTGCATCTAAGGGATGCAGCCACATAGACTTGTGGCTTCCTCACTGCCCTCATGCCATGTTGGGAAGACAAACTCACTCCAGCTTTCAGTTGGGAAAGCTGAGACACAGATGGAGTCGTTTGTCCAGAGCCACACAGCAGAGCTGGTGGAGTAGCTCAAGTGGTGTAGCAAGGGTGAGGCCCTGAGTTCAAACCCCAGTACTGCAAAAGAAAAAAAAAAAAAAAAACAGAACCACATAGCTGCTCAGTAACCAGTGGGCCTGGGAATACCAGAACAGTATTTCTGTTATTATATACACACAGCTTTATCTCCTCATGATGCACAGTTATTGTTACTATTTTAGAAGCAGAGAAACTGAGGCGATCAAAAAATGAAAGCCTCAATGCCACCAGGCAGCAGGAACCAGTATGAGCTTCATCCTCCTCACTGTAAACCCAAGCCTTCCTATACCACTCCAGACACCTGTACTCTGCAGTGTACGACCCTGTTCCTCTTTGGCCAATAAAACATCATAGTGGCTGCTTCTTCATTACACACAGGGTACAGGACTCAGGGTTTTGACTTGTCCTCCCTCATTTTATTAAAATTGAGGAAATTCGGAGGTTAAATGACTTGCCCAAAGCCACATGGCTAATGAATGGCAAGAGTTAGAACTCTGGAGGATTTCTACCACTTAAAAATAAAAACAGACCCCCGCACACCAGGGAATCAAGTGATTCTGGTCAGCACAATCATGTGGCCTGGGCATGCTGACTGGCTGCAGCCATGGTAGCCACAGTCTTCAGTGTCTGAGGTAAGGCGAATGAGCTTGCGAGCTTAACTAACCCTAACTCTGTCCCATATACACAACTGAGCAAAGCCAGTTAATTTGTGCCTCTGCAGCTCTAGAAAAATTGAAACTCTTGTGGAATAGAGAAAGAATGTCTAAATCCATCAAATCTTCTAGAACTTTACACACACGCAGGCTATTTTGGACATAACTAGTTTGAGAAAAAGCTAGTAGATGAAGATTTTCCTGAACACTCTTCTTCACAGAAAGTAAAAGAGCTAATAGGTTTTCTTTCAGAACCATAAATCTTAGTTTCAGAAAACATGTATTCAAAACCGAGATTTGCTTGGGGATGAGCTGCTGGCATTTGTCTCTTGCTGGTGAGAAGCCCTACTGTATATGTATTGTCATTTTCTGACTAAAAGAACAGACTGGGTCTTGACAACTCTAGTTTGCTTAATAAATACTGTTGATGGAATCAATTAGTTGCTATAGCTGCTAAATTATCAGTGCCCTGTCTAGTTAAATGAAGGAGTTTCTTTCCAAGACCTAGACATGGCAAAATTACAGATGCAGGAACTAGATTTGGAGCAT